CCACGTTGTGGTAGCAACCGATCTTAGTTTGTAAACACGAGTCTGATAATGTTTACAGAACACTAACATAATGTACTCACAAACCCATTGTACATCCTTGTACGTACATAAATACAGAAATATATAAAGATGTCTCCGTACCGTATTAACCACGTTCAAGTACGTTTATCGAGACAATAAAACACATCTCAAAGGGATCGAGTAGCTTAGGCTATTTCTACCCCTCCATTAATTCCGTAACGACCGTCTAGACGCAGCTGGAGGGGTGGGGATGGGGGGGGGGGGGTGATTGTTGGGAGGGTCCTTTATGGGGGATGGGGGAGGTGGGGGGCGGTGTGGGGTGACCGCAACCAGTCTGTCATATTCCGCCCACCCACCCATCCACCAATCCGTCCACCCACCTTGCCCGCGCGCACTAGCCAGCCAATCCATCTGCCTACCTCCACTCCTGCCTGCCTGCTAGTTATCAATTAATCCAGCCAGCCCACTTGCCTGCCTCCCACCATCCATCCTCTAGCTATCCCAAATATGACTAAACAGTTTCCGACATTTTAAAACCATCGGATTTAACGATTCGAATACATGCAAGCCCCCCCATGTAGGTCGTTAAATCGAGTGAATGCTGCATTTACAATATTATTTAGTGTATGAGAGTTGGGGTCAGAATAGACGAAGGTAGTATCGTCAGGAAATAGTATAGGTTTAAGAATGTTAGAAACATTTGGCAAATCATTGATGCAGATGATGTGTCACAGTAACGTGGCTAAAAAATGTTGACCAAACCACACACAAGAAATTGAAGAGACGATGACGTTTCGGTCTGTCCTGAACCATTATCAAGTCGATAGTAATAATGGTGCAAAACGATTCAAGACCTCCTGTTTTGAGCGGTTTGAGACTGTTAAATGTTCGTAGGAACAAGGTCCTTGCCGGGCACTGTGCTGGAATGCTTGACGGCTCCCGCACCCTGACAATGTCGCTGGAGTGTAGTGTATTGTCGTCGGTGTTCGTGTTGGGTTACACGCTCTGCTGCATGTATTAGGGAGCAACCGATACAGGCACACCTGTATCGTGATCACACCTGTTATAGGTGTGATTATGAGGGTCATTTGTCTGCAGCGTGCGACGTGGAGCAACTGATAGGGTGCATATTTTTCTCGCGGAGGATATTCCGCCCCTGTTGCCTTCGGACGGGTCTGAGGGCGGAGTGGGTATTGTGCCCGAGGTGCCTGATTGCCTGTCTGTTGCTCCGCCTGTTGAGGCGAGTTCTACGGCTTGTGCGACACGTCTGGTAACTGCCGTGCCCCTGAGGTTGTTGAGCCAGTGTGTGTGGATGTTGCGCTGTCGGCTGCGCTGCGTGTAGTCGATGATGTCCCGGTGGAGGTCCATGTCCGGCCCCTGCCTGGCCTGTGGATGTGGTCTAGGCTCCTGGGGGCGCAGGTTTTTCAGTTTTGGATGGGGATCTTCGGCCGGGGGGAGGTGCCTGCCATACCTGTGTGTATCGACGACTGCCGTTCTGATGCTTCCATCCCTTTGCAGAAACGTGCGCGCCGGTGTTCCGAGGCTGTTTCCCTGGATGACGTCGACAGTGTGGGCAATGTGGCCTCTGTGGACTCTTCGGTCAGTGTGGGTGTGGACCGTGTGGATGCAGTGATGGTGGCTGTGCCTGCGGAGGGGCCTGGTGGGAGTGGTGTGGTGCGGCCTGTCTCTAAGCGATCTCGGCGGATTCGGAGTGTCTCCCCTTCGTGGTGTGCCTTGGGAGGAGGTGGGGGAGTATGGTGCTCCAGCGTCCCCCAGCCTCGTCGGTGGCGAGGCTGTGAGGGGCTCCGAGTTGCTTCCCGTGGCCCCCTGTGCCTCCTGCTGTTGGATCCCCGCGGCGGGGGGTTGCCCCCTGGTGATCGGGACCTCGTCATAGTGCTGAAGAAGGATGTGCGCCGGGGGGCTTGGCTCCTGTGCCCAGTGGCGGGGCCATTGACGCGCCTGTGTCCCCTGCAGTTCCCCTTCCTTTGTTGCCCTGGTCTGAGGGGGGAGCCTAGTCCCGACTGCCGAGGTCGTGTCCCGATAGGGTCAGGTGTTGGGCTTTTCTCGGGATGCCTGGGTGCTCTTCCACTATCTGGGTACCGCGGGTGAAGGCGTTTGTTTATGGGGTGCCGGATAGGATGCCTCCGCTGTCTGCGCCGCTTGGTGGCCGAGCGTCCTCTGCCCATATACTGTTGTGGGAAGCGTGCTGCTTGTGCTTTCCGAGGCGAGAGTTCCCTGGTAAATATTAGTAGACGTCACGGACACAACGTGTCACCCTCCGGTGCGGCACGTCTCCCTCTTCCGTCCACCTCTGTTTTCGTCCCCGCTCCTGTCTATGGCTCCTCGCAACCACCACTTTTGAGTCTTATTCTCAACATACGCGCGTCTCCTAACATCTGTCCTGGTGCAGTCATCGGGAGGACACACCCTTCATGTAAACTACACCTACTATCAAGAAGAGATACACACATAATATTCAGTTCAAATTTAGTATCATAGTTGCACCTGCCTTCCTGGTTGAGCTAATGTGGGCAGTCGAATTCCAGGTATTAAAAGGTCTTGACTGCGTGGTTTCCTAATAATTTCCTGGGGTTTAACTATAACCACTGGTCTGGAGCAGATTTAAAATTCATTTTGCCTCGTAGGGCGAGTTTATTCGACAGCGCCACTCATCCTGTGAGCAAACATACCGCTATACCAGCATGCACAACACTCCCCAATAGGAAGAAAACCCGCTGGGTTGTTCATCCTATCACTTGTACCTAGACACAAGTGGTACTTGCCTAACTGTCTCAAGTGAACACCTCCTCAAACAAGAAGATTAACTTGTTTGCCTGTTTTTCTCAAGGCTGCTTTTGAATCGGTGCAGATCTTCCTGAGGTAATCTTGAGATGAATTCGGGGCTTTAGTGTCCCCGCGGCCCAGTCCACCGTCAGGAAGCAGCCCGTGACAGCTGACTAACACCCAGGTACCTATTTTACTGCTAGGTAACAGGGGCATAGAGTGAAAAACTCTGCCCATTGTTTCTCGCCGGCGCCCGGGATCGAACCCGGGACCACAGGATCACAAGTCCAGTGTGCTGTCCGCTCGACCGACCGGCTCCCTCTGTGGTCCAGATCACTACACCTTTAGCACTTCTTTCAGGGAATCTTAGAGGCATAACAATAGCAGTTAGCTCTGCTTACGTTGCCGAGTCATAGTTCCCAATACGTGCCTTTTCTTCATTTTTATCTTGAAAGACTTGCTTCTTTATAAATTTCCTCAAGGTGTTTATCCCTCATTTCTTGTGGTATCATGTGTTCCTTTACTGTTGCTGGAACTATTATTATGCTAGCAGAGATCGGCACTAACAGAGATCAGAACTATAACATTTTTTTTAAATTTTGCCCCGAGGGGCGAGTTTATTGGGCAGCGCCACTTATCTTGTGAGTGAACGTACCGCCATAGCAGAATGTACAACACTCCCCAATAGGAAGAAAACCCGCTGGGTTGTTCATCCTGTCACTTGTACCCAGACACAGCTGGGACTTGCTTAACTGTCTCAAGTGAACAGCTCCTCAAACAAGAAGATTATCATTTATCAACCCTTAAAAGCTTACGTTATCTTGCGGGTGCAAAATGGGGAAATCTTTTAAGAACAGTATCAATATTTGACAAATAGTGTTTTCCTAACTCAAACAATGTGGGGTTTATTAATCTACACATATTCCTAATGTCTCGCAGGTAACATGTTGTAGTATTAAAACAATCGTGCTACACCGAGCAGTAGCCTCGTGCCGTCATGTAGAACAGTACAGGTATCCCCGCAATACACAGTTGCTACGAGTGCCAGACACACCTGTGTAACTATATACTAGTTACAGACCAGTATGCACAGGTGTATAACGTTTCCATCACCTGTTGTTAACTCGGAGTTTATTGGAGTTCAGACTGAAAAGCAATTATTTTTAACATATGTGCAGGTGGGGTTTCAGTGTTCATGTTTATATCTAGATACAAGTGTCTGTCCCAGATACTGGCGTGTTAACGTACAAAAATGTACATTCTAAACTTTTTACCCTTAACGCTTCTTCACAATACAGGTAATCTTAGGGACGATATTTTTCATAATATTAAAATCCATGAGTTCAACCTATCCTCCTGAAATGACTGTATAACAACTATTTGGTCGAACGTACAAAGAAACTGTTGTAGCCACAATGTGCACGTTTCTTCCTATTCATTGTTGTTGAAGGTAAGAACAAAAAAATTAAGCAAACCCCAAACTTGAACATTCCTAATGTATGTATTATTGCAAGCACATGTTAGTTTTTTTAACAAATAGGTACAGGAATAGACGACTGTCGACTCTAAGTTAGTAGGCTGAGAGCTTTCCCTTCCCATAGCTCTAAATATATATGCTGGTTAGCATTGTAAATGTGTGGCCACGTCTGTGGTAGAAAAAAAATAGCTCTAAGCCTTACCCACTAGTTTCCCCCTGGAATACCATCCACCAATCGTTTAACAACCAGTTTACCCAATTACTAGTGAAGAGATATACAGTTCGTGCCAAATCAATCCTCCCAGATTACAATACCAATCTTGGCCAAATGACTGGCGAGTGTTACCACTGCGCCACAGGGAGGCAATTTTTTTTAACATGCTATTTGGACTAATTCAATAATACAAGACGAACGTTGTTTGGGGTCACCAGTCAATTTCTGTATCTTTGACCAAACAGTTCCTGTAAGTAGCATTATTGCAGGATGGTGATCATTCATCACTAAACAGTAAGCACTAGTATACTAAAGTCCTGTACATAGTCCAGAACCAAACTAAACTCTCTGCGTATACACTGAAATACACCTCCCAACATACCCTTATATACACCTCCCAACATACCCTTGTATATAGTAAGCAAGCCTTATCACTGCGGCCACTAATCAGTGGCGCAGACTTTTCACAACGGGGTTTTTAGTATCAAGATAATATTGTTTCAGAGACGATAACAACTTTCCCTCAGTTGCCTGGCTAAGGGTGGAGAGTGCGCGTGTGTGTCCAGGCGCACCCGAGCTGAATTTGTTCCATCGAATTTACTGGAAAGTCTTGTTGACATGTGGAAGCGCAGGTGAACAGAAACCATGGGGAACAACTCGTCCAACCCGCAGGTAGGAACAGTTGATAACGCAGCAGAAGCTGAAGAAATAAACTTTGCTGTAATTTCTGCAGCCCGTCCTCATAAACTAAGGCAAAAAAAAGTGATTCCATGCACTCGCTAAACCCCCCTATTTATGAATGAAAAGCAGGTTTACACACGACTCACCAGATGACGTTCGAACACATCTCGAACAATGCTTAGCTGACGACTTGTGTTTGAACCATAACGCTGTAAGCAGCCTGTCCTCCAAACAAAGATCCAAAAGTGATTCCATGCATCCGCCAAACCCCCTGTTTATGAATGAAAAGCGGTTTAGACACGACTCAACTGCTGACGTTCGAACACTTCCGGAACAAGTGCTTCACTGACGAATTTTGTTCGAATCACAACGCTATAAATGCTTCACCCACGTACTACAAATACAAATAATCGCCAACAGAACCTAAACACCTCACCTAACCTATCCTATGCCTATATATACAAAATATGCTAATACTACAAATACAAATAATTGCCAACAGAACCTAAACACCTAACCTAACCTATGCCTATATATGCACAATATGCTATTATAATAATTAATATTTGAGAAAATTCCCGTTTTGAATGAACAGCATGTAAAAATTTGTGAATGCGTCTGTGGGGTCGACCGCTGGAGGTAATGGACTAGAGTCGAGGACGGGTTGCAACGCTGCATACGTTTTGTTTCTCGTTGAAAGCTACAAGAAATGTTCAGTAGAAAGTGAAATAACGTTATAGTGTTCCGTTATTATAGTTCAATATCGAAACAAAATACATTATTATTCGATTTGTTAATTGTTGTTCGGTAAAGATATAAGCAACGTACCCACCGATGAGTTGTTATATTTGCAAGTGGCACCTGCTTCAACACATACAAGCCACATTGTACCTCTTCTCTCCCACAACCCTCCCCCATCTTCCCTACCACATCTTTACCCCCTATTCCTCCGCCTCTCCCATTATTTCCCAACCCTCCCCACCTGCTACCTCGTAGACACACATTACCATTTACATATTTATAGAAGAGGTACATGGATGCACCCGGGTCTTTCCATTCCCTCTCGTTTCACCATTGTTCCTCTCTTTTCACACTTTTTCCCGATCTTCTCCTTTGACCCCCTCGTCCCCAGCCCTTGAAAATTGCCTGGAGGTGTCCTTACATGCTAATAGTTCTTAAAGAATTTAACTTACTACCCCGACCAACATATGCACGTCCCATAGCCTAGCTTAGCCCGTTCCCCCTTACAAATTTAGGCGAGGCTAGTCTTAATCGCCTGGCATTGGAAACTTGGACAGATTGTCCGTCTGTCTGACAAACAGGCGCATTCTTATAGATATATATTTATCAATGTGTGGCCTTCGCAGCGTGGAATTCAATATGGCGGCCGCAGACGTATCTATATATTTTATATTTTGGAATGTACAATTAATATTACGTTCGATTTGGGTGCGTTAGCGCTATTTTCTTACACCGTAGAAACATGGGTCAGTGCATTCGCTGGGACGAATGACTATAACGTAATCCTTTGATTTCATGAATAATATTAATCAAATTTGATTCTTTAAGATTTGGGAAGGCTGACCGCATCGCCGATCTAGCTTGGTGTTAGGCTATCAACAGATGCCTCACCAACCAGCAAGTTTACCTCCGCCTACAATATAGTCCATATTACTGTAATAGAAAACGTGTGTGTATAAAGCAATAATTTTGTGCGACATTAACATTTTACTGTGCATTGTCTTTGTTATAATAATTGATTTCCTATTTGTGCACGTTAAATAAATCATCATCATCCACCACACCATCTGGTTTATAACATTCTCTTAACATATTTTGAACATAATGTGTTTCCGTTTTACAACATTTCAGGAAAATCGGATGGGCAGAAGGCTATCCAGGACTTTTCTTACTAGTGTCAGTGGCAGTAGTGGTGGCAGCAGTGTTAGTAGTGGTGGCAGTAGTGTCAGCAGCAGTGGTGGTGCGGCTAGTGGCAGCGGCAGAGGACGCCTATCCATAGTCCATCCCAACTCCTCCAACTTGGTAAGACATTTACGAGACTGCTTCTACCCAGGAAGTAACGTGTAAACTGATGTACTAAATCGCCCGAATCCTAACCTAACCGATGACCCACGAATAGAAAGCGGGACATTAATTTTGTGAGCCGCTATATGATTTTTAGTACATCATTGTATGGCGTTCGGAGATATATATATACGTCAAAATGCGATGTACTGCTCTACTGGATGGGTTTTCTCCTGTCCAAAAAACTCTGTGTGGAGCGGGTTTCCCCTCCACATAGTGGTAGAGAGTGAGAATAAGAGAGTGAGAGAGAGTGAGTGAGTGTGTGGAGGGGGGCACCATTTCCTTACGTATATTCCTCTACAAACAACGTGGCTTTTATTTTCTAAGGAACGGGAAGCCGGTTTGGCATATAAGAGGTCCTAAGCCTACTACTGATCTTTCACAGGATGTGACCCATATGCCAGTTACCTAACTCACGGTTACTTATTTATTGGTAGGTGAATACAGTCATTCGGTGAAAAGAAACGTTACCCTAACGTCTCAGTCTTACCTCAGGAATGGGACGCGGGACCTTTCGGTTGTGAATCAACAGCGCTAAATACTGGGTTACAGAACCCTTTATATTTATGTAGTTGTGCATGCAACCTGTCGCTTTTCGTTCGTATGCGTTACATAAGGCCAAAATTTGTCATACTAAAAAATGGACGCGGCTGGCGAAAGTGACGTACTGTCCCGTTTTCTGTTTTGGGTCCTCTGGTAGGTTAAAAGAGGACACTTTAAATTGAACGTTTTCTTGACGTTGGGAAATCTTAGGAGGACGGGCTGGTGTGTGAACTGTAACATATGAACGCCCGCGCGTGAATGACGACTTCTCTAACATGTTAATGTGATAAACAGCTGCTGGAAGCCGTTTCTGTGGGAGACGTGGAAACCCTTCGACGGCTAGTGGGCGCCGGAGCCAACCTTGAGGTCTGCAGTCATCGACAAGGCGAAGAGGGTTAGTAGTGTCTGCTTGCCTGCTCTCCCCCTCACATACACACACACACACACACTCCAGAATAATCTAGATCTTGCTTTCATTATCACTTCGGTCTACTTTTACCTTGTCAGCTCCTGGCCTTATTACGGTAGCTGCTATGTCGTGATTGGCTATATAAACTATGTACTAATCTACACGGCTTTTGTTTGCATCACATTATTTCATGTTACATTAGTATTTTACATTCAACTGTGCAAATAAGCGAGTGAAAACTTATGAGAAAAACCTAAATAATTTGTATTTCAATGCCTAATATAAATCTTAAATACTAGACATTATTTTATATTTCATTAAAATGAATATATTAATCTGGCATGTTTGGAATTACAACTACCTGTCAAAATGTAATTATCCAAGAAGTTACTCCAAGAGCCACCTAGTTCGTTGAGCTTATACTACGTCTTCCGTCAGACATGCGGTGCCTACATCTTGCTAGCTGGGGCGGCCACGAGGACCTCGTTCGCATCATCCTAGACAGTCGGGCGGAACGCGAGGCTGTTGCTCAAGGTAATCCACTCATTCACCTCACATTCACCTCACTAGTGACACCTCACATTCACCTCACATTCACCTCACTAGTGACACCTCACATTCACTAGTGATACTCGTCATCACATGCTCAATCTAACGCGTCAGAAATTGGTTCAAGGATGCATGTATTAGTCTTCGCTCGTGATTGGCTCATATCGATCACTGCTGGTGATCGATATGAGCGGTTTATCACTTATTATGGGCGCTAGTGGAGAGGGTTACAGAGGCACATAATGGGCTCAGGGACTGAACCCCACAATTCATATAGCTAAGGATGTTACAGTCTTGATGAACTAGTTACAAAATTCAATGCACATCCGTCACCTCAACAATGGGCTCGAGACAGACCTCAAATACAGTTTCTAATTTAAACAACCGAGATATGTGGAGAGCTAGTGTCCCAATTGATATGTTTATCCTACACATCACTCCCCCCCTATCCAATGGACTGCGGTGGATAGGTTGCAGGCGATGAGTCACAATAACGTGGCTAAAGTAAGTTGACCAGACCACACACTAGAAGGTGAAGGGAGGACGACGTTTCGGTCCGTCCTGGACCATTCTCAAGTCGATTGACATAGATAGGTTAACTGCGCAAATGAAAAGATTAATGTTATCACCTTACAGTATCAGCAGAGAGAGTTTTGCGACTCCTCCGTTATCACGCAAGCACCAAACTTGTTTTATTAAGTGTTGTTTATCTTTAATAATACGTTACTGCCATAACTAACCCGGAGGACCCTTTACGTCAATGACGTGCTTTCACTATCTCAAAGCCACTCAGAACAAGTGCAAACACCGATATGTGATAGATTACAACTTCTATAGCGGACAATATTTTATAAACCGACTAATATTTCGTACTTACGATCACCAGCATTCTCAGCCGCCAAGATCGACGTCCCACACACACACACACACACATCCTCCCGGGGACATGCGAGCCCTTTGTTCGGGAATTATAGCCTCTCCTCGACAGGGACGGACGTGAGACGTCAAACTTAAATTTCATCACACCGGTACACGACCACTGGCTAGAGGATTATCAGCTAGCTGCCAGAGGCTTCGATAATGGAGGTAGCTGGTTATACACTGGGCACCGAAGCAAGAGGACTCAACCGCAGGCCGGGAGGCGCAACACACTGACATGGACACTTTCATAGAGGAAACAACCGCGGACATACTTATCCAATCAGCAACAGCCGGCCGCTTCAACCTGTCCTCAGGCCAGGCTCCTTGAAAGCTGCTGCCGTCCCGCCAAAACGCGTTGATTAATTTTAACGTATATTAAACATAGGTTTGTTCTTAGTTATATATTAAAGTTTTATGTATAACCGGGCGCAGGTTAGGTTCTGTTGGCGATTATTTGTGATTGAAGTACCTGGGTGAAGCATTAACAGCGTTGCGGCTCGAACAGAAGTCATCAGCAAAGCGCTGTTCGAGAAGTTATCGAAGTCATCAGTTGTGAGTCGTGGGTAAACGTTTTTCATTCATTAACGGGGGTTTGGCGGGTGCATGGAATCACTTTTGGATCTTTGTTTGGAGGACGGGCTGTATTTGTAAAATGTAGGCGAAGCATTTACAGTGTTGTGGATCGCACAAAAGTCGTCACTTGTTCCGGAAGTGTTTGGATGTCATCAGTTGTGAGTAGAGTGTAAACCGTTTTTCATTCATAAACAGGGAGTTTGACAGGTGCATGGAATGGACTTTGGCCTTTGTTTATGAGGACGGGCTGAAAACCCGTTGGTTGAGTGCACATCTTGTGGGCTCTCATTGGTTCTTTCAAATAAAGCCTCTCCTAGTTGGTCGAATGTTATTCCGAAGCATCCCAGACATCGACTGGTTCGTTTACATTTTATATTCTAAAACATTTGCAAGGGGGCCTGACAGCTGAGTGGACAACGCTTCGGATTCGTAGTCCTGTGGTCTGGGTTCAATCCCCGGTAGAGGCGGAAACAAAGTCCCCCTGATGCTCGTGTTTACCTAGCAGTAAACAGGTACCTGGGAGTTAGACAGCTGCTACGGGTCGCTTCCTGGGGGTGTGTAACGAAAAGGAGGCCTGGTCGAGGACCGGGCCGCTCGAACGTTAAGCCCCGAAATCACCTCAAGATAACCTAAAGATAAGAAGATCCCCTTAACAAACTGACTTTCCAACACTAAAGCTTAATATTAATCATAGTAATTATAATTATATTGTCTTTACTTACAACCGTATATGAAGAAAAACTGAATAATTAAAAAAATAATATAATATAGGTATTTGCACTTGATGAAGAACAAGGCTGATAAAAGCATTGATAACAATCAAATTGATAACGATTGATAACAAACGAAGCTTAAACACACTGTTTTATTAACGCAACAAATATTTTAACATTTTCACACAGCGTCATCCCAGTTAATTTATAATGCGAAATTTACAAAGCTTGATAATACCTGGATCTTACCAGGGTAGGGTCTCGAGAGTTCTTCTACTCCCCGAGCCCGGCCTGAGGCCAGGCTCGACTTGCGATAATTTGGTCCAACAGGCTGTTGCTTGTAGCTGCCCGCAGGATCACAACCCGTCCTCTTAAAAATAACGTCACTTTTGGCTCGTATGCGCACTATGGCCAAATTTGGACGTAATTTGAAATGAAATCGACTCACAAAAGTGACGTACTGTTCCGTTTTCTGTTTGAGTCGTCCGGCCCTCCTCGGACAGCTTAGAAGAGGAACATTCAATTAACGTTTTTCATAACTTTTGAAACTTTATGAGAATTTCCTGCCCGCCTAACCTATCAGAGGACCCTTAACTTACTGTTGTTGAAAAAAAAAATCCCAAATTTATTTTGATTTTTTTTTTCATTTTCAAATTACGTCCATATTCGGCCATACGGGTAAACGGCCAAAAGCGACGTTCTTTTTACGAGGACAGGTTGCACATATATCCACTTCAGCACGGTTGGTCCGGCACTTCTTGCAAGAACTTAGCTAATGGTTTCTTGAAGAAGTTCACCTTCATTCCGGCAATAAATCTAATGCTTGTTGGGAGAATATTAAACAACCGTGGACCTCTGCTTGTGCCTACGGCACCTCTATTCCTCACTGATTCTATTCTACATTTCCTTCCTAATGGTCCAGGATGGACAGAAACGTCGTTGTACTATTATGTATTAGCGATAAGACCTACCATTAATGTATGATGACTTACTGTAAATATGTAGCTCTTGTAATAGCACTTTCTCTGTAACTAGCTGACATTGTAACTATATGGTGTGAAGCATAGATGAAATTGTTTATGTAATAATCTAAGATGAGGTCTGATAAAGACCTTTTGTGCCCTCTGTAATGCTTTTTGCGCTACCGCTCACAGGATGAGTATGGGGTGCACAATAAACTAGCGGCCTTCGGCGACAACAAATCAAATCAATCGTTGTTTCGTCGCTTTCTGATATGTGGTTTGGTCAACACATAACGCGAAATACTACAATATTTTCTACAGGTCGTCGAGCCGTTCACTGGGCAGCGGTTGGTGGCCACGTGCAGGTGTTGCAGGTGTTGCAAGGCAAAGGTTGCCACATGGCAGCTCTGACGAGTGAGGGCTCGACTGCGCTCCACCTGGCGGCTGACTACGGCAACCTGGCGGCTGTCAAGTGGCTAGTCCAGCAAGGACTCGACCCAGGCCTCAAGGATATGAAGGGCTGCACCGCCACGGATCTAGCCAGGGCAAGTCGTCATACTGACATCTGTGAGTTCCTGCTTACGGCACATATACAGGTGAGAAGCAGCCTACTAATCCTTACACTGCTCAGTAATTAATCCTTACACTGCTATATATAGCAGATATCCTACCACTATCCTATATATATAAATGCCTAACAGGCTTTTTGTTTACTGTTGACAGAGAACAGGTCGGTTGTGTGTAGGAAACCAGGACGCTTATTTTGCTTCCCCTGTGCACAATAATAGAATTCAACCCGACGCCGCCACACAGGTATGTGTCCACTCTTCCTATATTGCTATATTTAGCTGTTTATGCTAACACACATATCCCGCCGCTATTTGAAAATATAAATTATATTGGCTGACTCTGTATATGCAGTTGTGGTAGTGGTAGGATAGTGTAGCAGTGGTAGTCGTAGAACAGGTTCAATAGTGGTAGTCTCTCAATAGTGGTAATAGGTAATAGTCTCTCAATAGTGGTAATAGTGGTAGTCTCTCAATAGTGGTAATAGGTGGTAAAAATTTGTACATCCTGTCCCATTTTTGAACAAGTTCAGTAGTGGTAGTCTTAGAACAAATTCAGTAGTGGTAGTCGTAGAACAAGTTCAATAGTGGTAGTCGTAGAACAGATTCTACAACTATCACTACAAATTTAAAAAATATCGAGTTTTTAAAATATCGACTACGAGTTTTATAAATATCGTTTATATGTCATGCTGAACCTAGTAATTCAAATTCCTTAATTAATGTCAGATTTGAATTAATTCATTCGGTAATTAATGTCAGATTAACTACACACACACACACACACACACACACACACACACACACACACACACACACACACACACACACACACACACACACTTTACATCTGTTTCTATCACTCATCTTTAATCAGTATGCAGGAAAGTTACTGCAGAGATGTTGCTTCTCATTGAAATTTTGATGTAATATGCAAAAAAGATTTGGTACTGGGGTAGAGCATTTGAAACTTTAAGGGACCTATATTTTGTCTTTTCATATTTACAAATTTGCACTTTTGAAATGTTTATAAGACAGATTGCATAAAAAAATGCAGAACAAAAGATAAATAAAAAATGCAATATTATACAAAAGATATGTCTGCAGTTCCTTGCACCATCAGTAATTTCAAGAACAAGATGCAAGTTTATTACCCAAATTACATCTTTTGAAATCTCATGCTTAGTCAATCCGAAGAAAAAAATCTCTGGTTAGATTTATGACAATTCAAATTTTAATAATCAAAAAAATTAAAATTAAAAAATGTAATACCTCTTTAATTATTCTTTGTGATCCCATGTTGGAGGCAGATGTTTGCCGCGGCCACAGACGGAGACCTGGCCACCTTGGACAGACTACTGGACGAAGGTGTGGACCTGGGGGTGAGCAGCACCAGACCTGGAGAAGAAGGTAAGAGTCGTAGGTCATCCAACGTTGCAGTGACGTTATTATAACCTGACAACAACGTTGCAGTGACGTTATTATAACCTGGCAATAACGTTTTAGTGACGTTATTATAACCTGACAACAACGTTGTAGTGACGTTAATATAACCTGACAACAACGTTGTAGTGACGTTATTACAACCTGACAACATTGTAGTGACGTTATTACAACTTGATAACAACGTTGCATTAACGTTGTTATAGCCTGACAACAACAACAACCTATATTGTAGGTAAGTTGACGAAATAGTATTAATACTATCATTTTAGGAGGATAGACTATCGCAACCCGTTCTCACGAATTTAAGCACATTTTACCATATAAATCGCATTTTGACGTATAAATCCCCCAAAGGCCACAAAAATAATGTGCTAGAAATCACAGCGTCTGCCAAAATTGACATGAAGTTCTGTTTTCTATTCGTGGGACCTTGTTTACGTTAGGTTTGGACAATTTAGTACACCGGTTTAGTGACGATGTGAACGCTCGAGAAGATAGGCTGTGATATCTTGTGTATTACTGCCTCCTTCTATTCCATCCTCTTCCCCCAGTTTATTGCCCTTCCGAGTACTATATAATCATTAGGGCTTATCCCTTTCTCCTCATAATTATCTTGCCTTACATTGCTTATTATGAAAAGGAAAAGTTTATCAGGCCGCTCCAAGCAACAGCCTGTTGGACCAAGCCCTCACAAGTCAAGCCTGGGGGAGTAGAAGAACTCCCAGAACCCCATTAAACAGGTATCGTGTAATTTAATTATCAGGAGAAAGCACTAATCCCTTTCGACTATATATATATATATATATATATATATATATATATATATATATATATATATATATATATATATATATATATATATATATCACTTGGACAGGAAAAAAATGATTTACGATAGGACGGAGGAAAGGAATGGTGCCTAACAACTTGGACGGTCGGGGATTGAACACCGACCCGCAAGATGCGAGACTGTCGCTCTACCGTCCAGACCAAGTAGTTGGAATTTATCATGTAGCGTTAGCTGCCAACAATTCCCTGAGAAACAATGTTAGAAGGTGGTTTCATTATGACGTCATGTTCCACGATAACTGAAGATCAACAGATTATGATTATTACAGACTGAAGATTAACAGTCTCCGTGGTGTAGTGGTAAGACACTCGCCTGGCGTTCCGCGAGCGCTATGTCATGGGTTCGTATCCTGGCCGGGGAGGATTTACTGGGCGCAATTCCTTAACTGTAGCCTCTGTTTAACGCAACAGTAAAATGTGTACTTGGATGAAAAAACGATTCTTCGCGGCAGGGGATCGTATTCCAGGGACCATAGGATTAAGGACTTGCCCGAAACGCTACGCGTACTAGTGGCTGTACAAGAATGTAACAACTCGTATATATCTCAAAAAATCTCAAAGATGTCTTGTGATAGTTTCGGGTTATCGTTAATTTATAGTCGATAGCTTATTAGTAATTTGGATATATTGTTATTTCAAATATTGAGCCGTTTTGCAATAAATCACTAGGAAGGCGCAAGTCAAGGTGTTTCGTTAAAATAAATTATGATATACAACTGACATGTGTGTTAGTATTATAAATTTTATTTGAATTTGTGGTATAAGGTTGTATAATCATACACCTGGAGGTACACTCTACTTCTCGATGAATATGCACTTGTTTACTTTAGCTCTGCAATATGTTCAGGACTAATATAGATTTGCTGGTTGATGAGTATAAGCTATAATGGTGGTCAGAGGTTGACAGACCTGAAGCCTAACCCCAAAATATATCATTATAAAATTTAAATCCATCATTCAAAATAATATGCCACCCAAAAAACTTTGACAAGTATCTCAAGTTTACAGACTGTGGGTAATTATATAGGAAAACGCTGTAATTATCCCATTACAAATGTAAATTGCTTAGTTTTAAACTACATTAGTGTCAATTTCCCGCCAACAGCATGGGAATGCGAGTGTATTACCAACGAGTTAAAGTATATATATGTTGACAATTAGATTCTTTTAATGCTTGCAGGCCTCTGTCCGCTACACATAGCCTCATGGGGTGGCCATGCTGGATTTGCGAGGAGAATACTGGAGAGTAATGTCGACCGCGAGGCTGAGGCGAGAGGTGAGGATGGCTGGTGTGATGTCAGGCGAGGATGGAATGCATGATGTCCAGACCACACGTCAGAAAGTAAAGAAACGACGACGTTTCGGTCCGTTCTGGACCATTCATCATCAAGCAGTGTGATGATGGTCCAGGACGGACCGAAACGTCGTCGTTTTTTTCATTTTCTAATGTGTGGGTTTGGTCATTATATCTTCAGCCACGTTACTGTGACGCATCGTCTGTGACAGGTGTTGACACTAAACACATTTATTTATTTATTTATTTATATATATATATACAAGAAGGTACATTGGGTTTGTGAGAATACACATGTGTGGTGCAAACATATGTTTGCCAACGTGACTCATTCTATTCTAGTGGTACCTGTCAAACAGGTGTTTGACAGGTACCACTCATGACAGGTACAGATCTGGATGACTGTAAGCTTATAAGAGACATACTATCTTATAATTATCAGTCAATCACTTTAACCTCAGTACTTAATAAATTCCTGGTAAGAATTTTTCTAGATTAAATTGTACAGCATTTAAAGTCAATAACCAGTTTAAAATTCCAAGCCTACATTTTTCTTTTGTAAAAATCAGTAATATTAAAAAAATTATACTTACAAAAATTAATATGGATTTTTTTTAGTAATCACATCTTTAATGTATATTAAATAAGACTAGGCCATTCTGAGGCCTAAATGATTATACTGAAACATTAACTGCCCTCACAAACCACCTGGATAATTTAGATATTTGTAATGGCCTGAAAAGCATACATTATGGATCCAAGCGAGTACTAGGTATGTATATTCGTGGGTAATATTTGCAACCTCTATAATTTATGTAATCTATAACCTTGTAACTTTTGTAAAGTTTGTAATTTCATTGTAAGGCTAAAATATTCCACTGCAGGTCAACATGGCCGACCTTGAGTATGTGTTGAGTGACTAGACGATTATAACACCCTTCTGCAGGTCGTCGAGCCGTTCACTGGGCAGCTGTTGGTGGCCACGTGCAGGTGTTGCAGGTGTTGCAAGACAAAGGTTGCCACATGGCAGCTCTGACGAGTGAGGGCTCGACTGCGCTCCACCTGGCGGCTGACTACGGCAACCTGGCGGCTGTCAAGTGGCTAGTCCAGCAAGGACTCGACCCAGGCCTCAAGGATATGAAGGGCTGCACCGCCAAGGATCTGGCTCATCAGGCCAGATACACTGATATCGTCGACTTTTTAAGGATTAAGGAACCTCTGGTAGGATGTGTGTGTGTGTGGTTGAAAGTTTCCTCTCCTAACCTGTCCGCGTAGGCCGGAGGACTCAAACAGAAAACGGAAGAGTACGTCACTTTTGTGAGTCGATTTCATTTTAAATTACGTCCAAATTTGGCCATAGCGCGCATACGAGCGAAAAGTGACGTTATTTTTAAATGGACGGATTGCAGTGTGTGTGTGTGTGTGTGTGTGTGTGTGTGTGTGTGTGTGTGTGTGTGTGTGTGTGTGTGTGTGTGTGTGTGTGTGTGTGTGTGTATACTTTCCCAGTTTGCACTTGCAGTTGCGTGCCATTTGTTCAATACAGTGACATGTTTCACTCGTTTTCCATATCATATCTACCATATTTATCAAGATGTGTATCTAATTGGCTTCGAGAACTTCCTCATCTAGTTCCTACCACTTAGTTACGACTCTTAGACTGACACATGCAGGTCGGCGTTCAATCCCCGACCGTCCAAGTGGTTGGGCACCATTCCTCACCCCCCTCCCCCCGTCCCATCCTAAATCCTTACCCTGATCTCTCTTCCAAATGCTATATAGTCGCAATGGCTTGGCGCTCTCTCCTGATTTATATTATTGTTTTTAGACTGACGAAGTTCCTTCTGACATGTTGACCAGACCACACACAAGAAGGTGAAGGGACGACGACGTTTCGGTCCGTCCTGGACTATTCTCAAGTCGATTGACTTGATCGACGGGTAATCGACTTGAGAATGGTCCAGGACGGACCGAAACGTCGTCGTCCCTTCACCTTCTAATGTGTGGTCTGGTCAACATACTTTAGCCACGTTATTGTGACTCATTTCCTTCTGACATGACTCGTTGTGTTTCTAACTTCTAATTATGTTAGTCGGTGCCTTTAAACCCTCATTTATGATGCGTTAGCAGAGAAATCTAATTTTTATTAATTGCCTCCCTGGAAGCCCCAGTACGAGGACTTCACCACCATCAAGTGGCTCGGGGAGGGCAGCTTTGGACAAGTGTATATTGTGACTAAACACGGCAAGCTACAGGTCCTCAAGGCGGTGAGTTGCTACTATTAATAATGACAAAAACTTGTAACGAAATAAGGACACATCATTCCTGGTAGATTTTTTGTTATATTCATTTTTTCTTAAGATTTTGGGTAGATGGGTTGTTAAAAGGGTAAGTTTGTATCTGCTATTTAACTGTCCACTTTCTCAAAGTTTGATGTGGTCTTCTTAACTTTTGAAGTGGTCTTCTCCGCAATTAGTCACTTTTTTCCTTAGTGCACCTCATTGTGTATATTTAAATGACCCTCGTCTCTACAAATGAAGGAACTCCTTTTGTACACTATTCAATATTAAAAATAAATCAGATACATCAATATTTGTCCATTAAGTGGAAGTGATGGTGTTCAGATCAACATGGGGCGCCTGGCGGGGACGCTGAAGGTGGCAGCCGAGCAGGAACTTCAGCTCCTTCAGACAATCCGTCACCCCAACATCGTCACATACATGGTGAGATCTTCTCTCTCCTCCAAGATGGAGGTATACCGCGTGCGAGTCCAGCAAAGGGCGATTTCCAAGTGTAGTAGAGCTCTTTTTATTATTTTATTTTTTATTTTGTTTTTTATTATTTTCTACCACAGACGTGGCCACACATTTACAATGCTAACCAGCATATATACATTTTCTTCTGTCCTCCATGGACAGGGTTAGAGAAGTGTTAAACATATAGTTCAAGGGTTTATTGAACACTCAACCACAGAAGGTGATTTGGTGCTTTTAAAATGCTAAGCTAACCTACATACGTAAATACATAGATACACAGATTTACGTATGCCCTACATAAAGTGTTTGATGTGTCTTTTACATAGTGTCATTAATGTACATTCACAAAGGTGAAATGTAATTCTGATCAGCTTCCATATATACTTTATACCCATACATATACATATACACACACACACATATACATACATATATACACACACATGCATTCACATACATTTGTCTCATTTACTCTGACAGGGTGAGATAGCTGATAAAGAAACTAGTGTGCAATTAAGCACTTAATCACTGAAGGTGATGAAGGTGCTTTTACAAGCCCAGGTTATATAGTTACATCATATATATACATTGTATAATTGATATATTACATGGTCAATCTTGGATACAAGTCCAATATATCATCAAGTGTTCCAGTACTCACATAGTAATTACAGAGTTCAGCATACCTTAGCCCAGGAGGGCGAAAGTCAGTCACCAGGTCGAGCTTTACACGGAGAGCTGGATATATATGGCGTTGTATTCTAAGAGTTGGATATATGGCGTTGTATTCTAAGAGTTGGATACATGGCGTTGTATTCTAAGAGTTGGATATATGGCGTTGTATTCTAAGAGTTGGATATATGGCGTTGCATTCTAAGAGTTGGATATATGGCGTTGTATTCTAAGAGTTGGATATATGGCGTTGTTTTCTAAGAGTTGGATATATGGCGTTGTATTCTAAGAACTGGCTGATTGAGGTGGTTGTCCCGTTGGTAATCTTTACTACTGTGGGTGAGTGTTGCTTTAGATTTAGCTACTCAGAACGAAGTGTCCATGTAGCACGGGCTATGGTGAGCCCGTAATGTGGGGGGATTCTTCCCTCATTATGATATTTGATCCCAGTGGGCGAGGGACTGTGGTGATACTAATATTAAGTGACTTGTACGAAGAGCGTTTTGAGCATAAATGTGTACCGGTGGTGAGCATGGAGAGGACCTGGTGACCAGGTCAGTCTGTTGAGGGGCAGAAAGTGCGCCTTGTAAGTCTGATTAACGTGAAGACAGATTATTATATTCATGGTGGAGGTGGAATCCTTCATTGTGTGGCATCATTTATCTGACGGCGTTGTTAGGACAATCTGTCCTTTCAACTAGTAAGTCGTTAGGGTAATATATGGTAACCAGCGTACCAATTGCAACGTGCTATGAGATGTTCGTACGTTTCTAATCAGGTTAGGGTCTTGGATTTTACACGTGGTGGCAAATCGGCAAATCAGAGTGTATTAGAAGAGATATACATATACCTATTATTATTTTCAATGAGGTACCATATGATCTAGGTTGACCAAACTATACACACTAGAAAGTGAAGGGATGACGACGTTTCGGTCCGTCCTGGACCATTCTCAAGTCGATTGTGGACTTGAGAATGGTCCAGGACGGACCGAAACGTCGTCGTCCCTTCACTTTCTAGTGTGTGGTCTGGTCAACATATTTCAGCCACGTTATTGTGACTCCTCGTCTGCATATGATCTAGGCTTTTAGGATAAGACAATCACCGGTTCAGTAAAGTAATAAGCTGTTCCCCAGACACAAAAGCAAAACGTAGCAGGGTTAATTAGGTTAATTAACACAGTTACATACATATTTGTTATTGCACTTGGTCCTTCCCATCACTGATGTCACCGTTGGCTCACTACAGGGTGGAGGAGTGAATGGCACCGACCTCTTCATCCTCCTGGAGTACTGTGCTGGCGGAGACTTGGCTAAACTCATCGAGCAGCGCCAACAAGAGTCAGGCCAACCTTTCCCTGAGACGCAGATTGTGTCCTGGACTCTCAGTATTGCCTCAGCACTCAAGGTAAACTCTCAGGTGACCTAGAGGTGCCTGGATGGGCTTAGGGGTGGCGTGGGTGAGGTGTGTGGATGACCTTAGGGGTGCTCATGGACTCAGCAGTACAGTTGTTGGATGACATTAGTGGTAGTGTGGTGATGGATGGCATTATGAGTGCTGTTGTGGAGGAATAATATTAGTGGTGATAAAATTGCACCTCTTCAAGACGCTTCTGTTGACATATCTTACGAGAAATAGTTGATAGCCTCTGATTTTAGCCCTGACGAGGGAACAATTCTTTTTACCCAAAGTCAGGCTTCACACACTAACACAGCATGTAAGCCAACTATCCTGGAGCTTCTACCCCCTCAGTATCTGCACGAGAAAGGAATCCTGCACCGGGACCTGAAACCCCATAACATCTTCCTCACCCGCGGCAGCAAGTCGGTCAAACTTGGCGACTTTGGTTTGGCTCGCGTCACAGAGGGCGAGATTAACCTCCCTAGGACTATGGTTGGCTCCCCAGCATATATGGTAGGTCCATATAGTGTGTGTATTTTAAGTACTACAGTGTATATAGGAGTGTATATGGTTAGGTCTAGTACTGCATCCAGGAGTGAAAGTCCAAGAGATCTAACAGTACTGTTGGTGGGTTGGGTTAATCCACATATCCAGCTGGGACAACCCCATCGTGGATACAGAAGTTACAGATTTGCTCAACACAGCAATAATACCCAGTGATTTCACTCGTCTCACAGCCACGAGTGCTCCCCATTCCGAGGAGTTTCATTTGTCAGTCCCCATGACTGCACAGGCACACATATTGATTTGCAGCACCTCCGTATTGCAGTGACTCTGTCCCAATTAAACGCTGTATAAGTATATTTGCAGCAAAGTACCGGTAGATGCATATAGGCTGTATTCCTTGCCTAATGGAATAGCCAAGCAATGAGGCACAAGCCTCGACGAAGTCAACAACATATTTACTGGGCTTCACAGCTGCCCATCATGCAGCAGAGAAAGAGCCTGCTGGTCGCCCAGATGGAATTATTCTCCGCCCTCCAACTAGTACTGGTTACTCTCACTACTGGTCAAGGTGCCTCTGTCTAATAAGTACAAGGAACTAGACCACCTGTACAACTGATACAGTATCACTGAAATCGTAGCCTACTTTATTATCTTTTTAACTAATTTGCATACAGTTCCAGAAACTGTAACCTACGGTTCCAGGAACCGTAACAGTCCTCCCTCACTATCAATTCCAGTTCCGTACCTCTCCCTACAGAGTCCGGAGGTGGCTAACGCCTTGCCGTATGACGGCAAAGCGGACATGTGGTCCCTAGGCTGTTGTCTCTACGAACTGGCGACGCTGGAGCGAGGCTACCCTTATAACCAGGTCAGTGGCTGCGATACTTGCGTTTTCTATGCATCTTCACAATTATAAAATAGTCTCACATACGAATTTGGCTCACAACCAAAGCATTCTGGGTTTGAAACACGGGGTGGGACAGAGATTGTTAGGTATGTGTCCTTTCACCTGATGCCACTGTTCACCTAGAAGTATATAGGTACCCAGGAGTTTAGGCAACGATTACGGGTTACATCTGGGAATGGTCAGAAGTTGGGCTAGGGTTACGTCGGAAAGTCTATACAGGCTTCCTGTCCCAGACAATGGGAAACCATAACGGGTATATACTAATGGTATACTTTAGTTCAAAACAGTGGTTTCAGACTTAATATTTTAAATAAATATGTTTGTGGTGGTGGGACATGGTCTAGAATTCTGGGGCCGGATTCAGGAAGGTACTTACGAAGGTTTTTCCTCTTAGCTAAGAACGTTTTCCCTCTTAGCGCCTTCGTGGCGGCTACGTCCGTATTCAAGTAGCTACACTAAGTGGAAAAACCTTTGTAAGTTCATTCCGGGATTTAAGTGTGGATCATTAATGGATTTTTATGTACAATTATAAGATTTATAATATTCTTTAGTAATTACATAAATATTATTAATAATCACCGTGGAAAATTATCAATCATGAAGTTTTAACGTGATTGTAGATTATGATTATAACTCACACAGCCATAACTAGTGAAATATTTTTTCAGGTATCCCTTCCCGGGGAATTCAGCAATGGGTTTAAGGATACAGTGGTGTCGTTATTAAATTACGATCCTGATAAGCGGCCCAGCGCTGCGGACCTGCTGGTGAGCCCGTTCCTCCTGGCCTTGGCGATACTGAGGAGATAACGGCTTCCTTTTTATTTCCCTCCTCACTCAATGCCAACATTGTTTCACCCAAAGACGGTGACATCAAGTCCTCAGGAATGAAGGTCAAATACAATGTTATCGAGTAGTCCACTACGGGCTCACCATAGCCCGTGCTACTTTGAACTTTTTGTTCCAGGTAGCGAATCTTGAACAACAACAACATATGCTTCATGCTTATGTATTTATTGTTGATAAATACATTAAAAACTATTCGAAAGTTTGTAGACTTTAAATAGTTACAAAATATACAGCACACGCTGGGTAGTTTAGTCAACTATTATTGTGATCTTAATTCTCTTTAAAAGATATTTACCAAATCGAACAATTTCGGCTTACTGTGACACGCTTTTATATAGTAACCTCGCTACACTGAACTACATAATAGGTTGAAATTTTATATAATTTTATATGTCTCAATGTTGAACATGTTCCGTGACGAATTATCTGTTCGGATAAGCCAATCAAAGATGTTGTGAAACACATACCAAGTACTTCAAGTGCAAACATTACATGCTAAAACCACATCGGATTCCTTCAAAGTGACGTGACAGAATTCTGTCAATGTGATGCGAAAGCATTTTCTAAAAGTGATGTGACAGAATTTTGTTGAAACGATGGAAATGAAAGAAATTTAGTTAAAATAATCTCATTTTATGATTCGCTCCCGTGTAATTTGGTCCCTCAAGCCAGCCACACTGAATGGGTAACAGTGCAGAGCTTATTACAGTGTAACTTAATGAAATTGCAGTGAATTATTTTAGTTACCCAGCAAGCTGGTTCGATCCCCTGTCCCGTTACAAAGATTTTACCCTTATTAAACTGATCTTGTCTTACCCAAATCAAGGGTTTACATTCACCATTTGAAGAAAATCCATTGGAACACTAAGGTAACTGAAACCAGCGACCAAACACCTAACCAATGCAACAGTCAGCATAATGTCTATATATATATATATATATTCCTTTTCACAAGGTGCCTGGCTTTGCCCAGACTTACCTATTTCCTAGGGTGTGCTCCCTCCTTCGACAGCCCAAAATTAACGAAATATGACTCACTCCTAAAGACAATAACTATGAAAGTGTTAAACCTCTCCCTGCAAGATGACCAATGGGACCAAGCAACGCTCCCAGTTAGACTCGGGGGTATAGGTATTCGCAAGGCGACACAGCATTGCCGGCATTCTTATCCTCGACCAGTGCTACAAGTAAATTAGTGAATGAAATACTACCAGAATACCTAAGAGACTCCATTGGGATTCATGATCCCAAATTCGCGGAAGGAGTCGGTCAGTGGGACACTCTTGCCAACTCACACCCTCGACCAACTTTTCCAAACGACGGCAAACAGACCAAATGGGATAGCTCCATAGTGGAGAACATCGCCACTGCATTGCTTGAGGCAGCTTCTGAGAAGGGCACAGCGCGTCTTTTAGCTGTGCAAGCTCCCTATGCCGGGGACTTCCTGTTGGGAGTTCCTAATTCCGCCTTGGGCACCCGCCTGGACCATCGGGACCTAAGTATTGGTGTCGCCCTGCGCCTTCCCGCCCCTATCTCCACCGAACACCGGTGTATTTGCGACTATGCACGGGCAGACCAATATGGCAGCCATGGTCTCATCTGTCGTAAGACACAGGGAAAGATTGCCAGACATGAAGCAGTCAATGACCTCATCAAGAGAAGTTTAGCTACAGCTGGGTGTCCAGCACAAAGGGAACCTCAGTTGTGCAGAGCTGACAACAGCCAAAAACGCCCAGATGGAGTCACCCTGCAGCCATGGAGGGAAGGTAAACAGGTCGTGTGGGACTACACGTGTGCGTCTACATTGGCTGATACCTATCTACCTTACAGCACAGGTGAGGGAGGCGGGGCAGCCACCTTCAGGGAGACTCAGAAAACCAACAAGTACAGAGACCTAGAACGTTGTTACAGGTTCGTGCCGATAGGCTCTGAGACTCTGGGCGCCTGGGGTAAATGCGCAGTGAAGTTCTGAAAGGAGGCGGGCGAGGAACTCATTGGGAAAACTAAAAACTCAAGAGCGGTCAGTTTCCTGTTCCAGCGCCTCACTGTCGAAGTTCAGAGGGGAAATGCGTGCTGTAACTTGGGTACGCACCCAACTTCCGAGGAGCTGGACGAGGTCTTCCAACACTGATTGTTACATTGTTATATATGTGTGTGTTCTCTGTAAACTGTAGCATTGTAATAATAAATAAATAAATAAAATAATGCAGGTGGTAGGAGAGGAAAAGATTAAAGTGTTCAGTGAGAATCCACAAGGTCTTCTCTGAATACTCTTTGTTTTCTTCTTCGAGGCTATGTGTCCCTACAATTGCATTAGAGGTGGTACCCCTATTATATATATATATATATATATATATATATATATATATATATATATATATATATATATATATATATATATATATATAATATATATGATATATATATATATATATATATATATATATAGTTTATAATTTTATACCTTTAATTATGCTGATTTTAAAAATGTTGACAAGAATTCATCCTAGATATACATTGTTATTTATTGGTAAGCCTATTAGTTTTAAGTGTTTTAATGTTATTCCTCAGCTAAGTTACAGTCTAGGGGTGCTTAATGCTCGCCTTGTCTATCAATATAACATTAATCACTAAAATTAGATATATCATAAAAAATTAAATTAAAACAATACGGAGGTATTACATAGCACTATGGTTATATGAAAGGTTTTATTTAAATTTCGTATCCAAACATGTGTCAAAGTTTGTAGCTACGGCACAAGGGTTACACTATGCCGCTCATAGGCGCTGACACACACGTGTACAGCGCACGTGAGCAGACGCACGCACGCCCCTTCCCCTCCAAACATCGAGCTATTAGCTCTTAAACCACGCCTTTCTAAACAATTTATTTTTCCTCTATTATGTCGACTACATATATTTCTCTTACACACACACACACACACACACACACACACACACACACACACACACACACACACACACACACACACACACACAGGTGCTCCTGTGCAGATGCAGACATGAAATTAGACAGCTGTTACGGGCTGCTTCCTGGGGGGGGGGGGGTGTACTTACTACTAGTTACTTACCTAGTTGTGCTTGTGGGGGATGAGCTCTGGCTCTTTGGTCTCGCCTCTCAACTGTCAGTCTACTGGTGGGACAGAGATTCCGGAGCCTATTGGGCTCTATCATATCTACAGTTGAAACTGTGTATGGAGTCAGCCTCCACCACATGACTTCCTAATATAGAAGTGTGTGTGTAATTACCTAAGTGTGCTCACTCACCCAAGTGTGTGTGTGTGTGTGTGTGTGTGTGTGTGTGTGTGTGTGTGTGTGTGTGTGTGTGTGTGTGTGTGTGTGTGTGTGTGTAAGAGAAATATATGTAGTCGACATAATAGAGGAAAAATAAATTGTTTAGAAAGGCGTGGTTTAAGAGCTAATAGCTCGATTCTGCAGTTACAAATAGTAAACACACACACACATTAGAAAGAAGAAAGATTGCGACATTAGAAAGAACTTTTTCCGTAAAATGGGTATACCTATCTACCTTACAAGTAGAATGTGTAACGAATGTGAAATGTTTAACAAGTGCAATGCACTAGAAAGTAATGTGGTGGAGACTGGCTCTATACACAATTTCAACTACAGATATCATAGAGCCCAATAGGCTCCGGAATCTCTGTCCCACCAGTAGACGGACAGTTCAGAGGCGGGCCCAAAGAGCCGAACCTCAACCCCCCCGCAAGCACAACTAAGTGAGTACACGTATGGTGGAGTGCAGTTAATGTAACATAATAATATAGACTGATGCTGAGCAATGCTAATCATATAATAAATTAGCATAGATGTAAACAAAACCCACACTTGTGTCGGATATTGGATCGCTTGTTCAAACAGTACAGTTGCTGGGAATATGTTCGTGATATATACCGGAGGTCAAGTTATGGAATATATATTCCCGCTGTATATATTCATAATTATATATATATATATATATATATATATATATATATATATATATATATATATATATATACACAATTAGATAGTGTAGGTTTTTTTTCTTGCAATGTATTTGTTATCATTTTATTAATTCTACTAGAATTTACCTACTTAAAATTATCTGTTAGATTAAGGACCTGCCCGAAACGCTGCGCGTACTAGTGGCTTTACAAGATTGTAAATACTATGCTATGTATTCTCACAAACCCAATGTACCTTCTTGTATATAAATAAATAAATAAAAATAAATAAAAATAAATAAAAATAAATAAAAAATGGATCCTTCTGACTTCACCCTACAAAGTTATGGAGGCCGCTGTCTACATCAGGTACTTCTACTGCAGGTCCTCCTACATAGATATCTCCTCACTCTCGTACCTGAGAGTTTCACATATTTACTCACTGAAACTTGAGTTTCACCCATTCACTCACTGAAACTTGAGTTTCACCCATTCACTCACTGAAACTTGAGGGTTTCGTCCATTTACTTACTGAAACTTGAGGGTTTCACCCATTTACTCACTGAAACTTGAGGGTTGCACCCATTTACTCACTGAAATTTGAGGGTTTCACCCATTTACTCACTGAAACTTGAAGGTTTCACCCATTTACTCACTGAAACTTGAGGTTTTCACCCATTTACTCACTAAATCTTGAGGGTTTCACCCATTTACTAACTGAAACTTGAGGGTTGCACCCATTTACTCACTGAAACTTGAAGGTTTCACCCATTTACTCACTGAAACTTGAGGGTTTCACCCATTTACTCACTAAATCTTGAGGGTTTCACCCATTTACTCACTGAAACTTGAGGGTTGCACCCATTTACTCACTGAATCTTGAAGGTTTCACCCATTTACTCACTGAATCTTGAATTTCACCCACTTACTCACTAAACTCACTAAATCTTGAGTTTCACCCATTCATTCACTGAATCTTGAGGGTTTCACCCATTCACTCACTGAAACTTGAGGGTTTTACCCATTCACTCACTGAAACTTGAGGGTTTCACCCATTCACTCACAGAAACTTTGAGTTTCACCCATTCACTCACTGAAACTTGAGGGTTTTACCCATTCACTCACTGAAACTTTGAGTTTCACTCATTCACTCACTGAAACTTTGAGTTTCACTCATTCACTCACTGAAACTTGAGGGTTTCACCCATTTACTCACTGAAACTTTGAGGGTTTCACCCATTCACTCACTGAAACTTTGAGTTTCACCCATTCACTCACTGAAACTTTGAGTTTCACCCATTCACTCACTGAAACTTGAGGGTTTCATCCATTTACTCACTGAAACTTTGAGGGTTTCACCCATTCACTCACTGAAACTTGAGGGTTTCACCCATTCACTCACTGAAACTTGAGGGTTTCACCCATTCACTCACTGAAACTTGAGGGTTTCACCCATTCACTCACTGAAACTTGAGGGTTTCACCCATTCACTCACTGAAACTTGAGGGTTTCACCTATCCGCTCATTCTGAAACATGAGGGCTTCGCCTATCCATTTCACTCGGAAACAAGAGTTTCACCTATTACATATTTGAAACTTAATTATATACAATGCACATATAATGTAATCACCAGGAAAAATAATGCTAATCGGTGCAGTATTAAGTGAGGTCACAGAAGCTCACTACGGGCTCACCATATAATTTATGGTGCTACATAGAAATGTTGCTCCAGTAGCTGAATCTAAAAAAAAAAAAAACACAATATGGGTGCGCACTCAGTATAACTCAGTATGCGCACTCAGTATAACTCAGTATGGGTGCGCATGGTATGATGAGAGAGGGCGCGTGGCTTCCACTTGGTTCACCACAGCCACGCCAGACCAATCTCCAACATCCAGCAGTTGATTATAAGAGAGAGCCGAGGCAAGACTGTGCGAGTGTGTGTGTGTGTGTGTATTTACTATTTGTATCTGCAGAATCGAGCTATAAGCTCTTAGACCCCCGCCAAACTAACCAATTTATTGTTCCTCTATTTATGTCTACTACAAATATTTTTTTAACACGCACACACACATCCCCAGGAAGCCGCCCGTAGCAGCTGTCTAATTCCCAGGTACCTATGTACAGCTAGGTGAATAACCGCCATATGTGTGTGTGTGTACTAAAGATACGTACGGATTATATAACATTATTATAACTAATTTGTTTTTAAGTGCTTATAGAAAGGTAAGTGGATTCCGCGTTTTTTGTTTTGCGAGCATGTATTATAGGAACTGCCGCATACACAGAGAGTGGCTGCCACACGCAATGGCATGACTGCCGCATATACTGAGATCATGATTGGTATATAATGCTTAACCAGTAGCCGACGGAGGCGTGAGGTATTCAGAGGTGAGCTGGAGACAGTAGCCGACGAGGGGGGTAGAAGTAACCTATGCTCCTTTATCCCTTTGAGATGTATTTTATTGTCCCAATAAACGTACTTGAACTTGAAGTAGAAGTAGCCAATGGAGGCATGAGATATTTAGAGGTGAGCTGGAGATAGCAGCGAACGGAGGCGTGAGGTATTCAGAGGCGAGCTACAGACAGTATCGGACGGAGGCGGGGGGGTATTCAGAGGCGAGCTACAGACAGTATCGGACGGAGGCGTGAGGTATTCAGAGGCGAGCTACAGACAGTATCGGACGGAGGCGTGAGGTATTCAGAGGCGAGCTACAGACAGTATCGGACGGAGGCGTGAGGTATTCAGAGGCGAGCTACAGACAGTATCGGACGGAGGCGTGAATTATTCAGAAGCGAGCTACAGACAGCAGCAGAGATATATTTTTTTTTAATACATGAGGTACATCTGCATTAGTGCAGCTGCCCTAGACTATATGAAGGGGAGTACAGTGTGTCAAAAAAAGCTAACTAGGTGATGCTAAAAAATCCCCATCACACAGGATGGTTAGTCATACAGAGGCATGTGATAAGCAGTCTGCACTGGCAGACTCCGGATGCATTTTGAGGATATCATCAACACAAGATTGAATAAGGTAGCAGTGGTAATAAAAGTCCCCATCTCGCAGGATGGTTAGTCATACAGGGCCATATGTTTAGTAGCCTGCACTGGCAAATTTTGTGTACACTGTGAGGATATCTTCAAGAATACGAGAATGAATAAAGTAATTGCAGAGCTCCAGGTACCTCATGGCAACTGGTCTGAAAGGTCTAATAACTGGGCATTCGGTGATGTAGTGTGGGAGATCATGCCGCAGTTCCTGCTCACAGAGTTTGCACCTGGAGTGCTCAGGATTGGGAGACCCGTCACCTGCAGCCACCTGCCACAGGTAACGGTAACCCAACCTGATCCTTGCAACCACTGTGTCGCACAGTCTAGTGGAGGTTTTGTGCTGCCCATAGATATAGGTTTCAGATCTGAACAGATCATAGCTTTTTATACTAGTACTTTCAGGTCGTTGGGAGTCAGTAATTTCTTTCCTATCAGATCTGAGTGTTTGGACCAATACAGTTTTGACAGCAGAGATGGGGATACCTAGATCTAATTCAACTTCATCCTTGTTACACGCTAATTTGGTTGCAATGTCTGTCTCATTATGATGGGTTATATTTATATTTGTGCTGCCTACACGTTTCAATGTTCTGGTTGTTGACCTTGAAAGTTATAGGGACATGAGTTTTCTCTTGGGGATGGAGAACTCAATAGCGGACGGAGGCGTGTGGTATTCAGAGGCGAGCTACAGACAGTATCGGACGGAGGCGTCCGATACTGTCTGAGATTATAGAGATAACAAGACCACATTCAATGCTTTTAGCACCGAGTGAATCAAGTAGAGCTTGCAGTCTAGTTTGGGAATTTGTAACAATGCATATGTCATGGGCATAACAAATGATGGCTTCGTCAGGTAGTGTGGGAATATCAATTGTTAATTTGTGCATCAGAACATTGAACAGTGTAGGACGTTGCAACCCGTTCTCGCAAATTTAATACGTCAATATTGACTTACTAAATATGTGCATAGGTGACATACTTAACATAATAGTTTCCCTTGAAAAGCTTCATAGAAAACACCGACCTTACCTAACCTACTTAGTATGCTAAGATAAGCATCTTATTGCTTCGCAATTACAATTATTACCTAACCTATACCTATAATAGGTTAAGTAACAATTGTAATTACGAAGCTATAAGATGCTTATTTTAACATACTAAGTAAGTTAGGTAAGGTCGGTGTTTTCTATGAAGCTTTTCAAGGGAAACTATTATGTTTAGTATGTCACCTATGCACGCAACTAATAAGTCAATATTGACTTATTAAATTTGCGAGAACGGGTTGGACTTAGCACTCCACCCTGGGGTGTACCCAACTCAAAGGGTGCACGAAGTTTACTTTTCACCCCCTTGAAAAGGACTGAGGCGGTTCTGTTACTCAGGTAACCCCTGAGCCATGTCAACAGTCTTCCCTTAACTCCAAAAGAGGCTAGCTGTTCTAGGATTATTTCTCTGCTGTATCAAAAGCAGTTTGGAGATCAATAAATGCCGCCTGAGAGTTTGGTCCCTCTCTGATAAAATACTCAGCAAAGCAAGTTTGTGTGCTTCTTCCAGGAAGGAAACCATACAGGTTAGGGGCAAGGTGGGGCTTGATTTGAAACATTAGTCTGTCGAGAATAATTCTCTCAAGAACTTTATACATGCACGACGTCAGAGAAATGGGTCTAAATTTTTGTGAATTAGGCTTGGGTATGGGTATTATGAGTCCCTGTGTCCAGCGGTCAGGTAAGACACCCTGCCTTAGACTTTGATTAAACAATTCTAGCAAAGGGCTATTTGGCAGCTCATCAAGTACTCTCATGGTGTTGTATGTGATGCCATCCTCTCCAGGAGAGGTAGCTTTACCTTTCTTGAGTGCATTTTTAATTTCAAAGGGGGGTTATGCCATAGTTATCATCAGGCCCTATTTCACTACAGGCAATTTCAATATTGAAGTTACGATTTATTTTGGTACTAGCCAGATAGTTTTGCACATCTAGGGGCAGACTGCTTATACTAGCAGTGCTTGCATATTGCTGAAGCAGCATGTCGGCATAGTCTACAGGTGAATGGTGATCAAGTTGACGACTGCTAGCACGAGAAATCTTTTTAATTTTATTCCACATTTGGGATGAGGATGTTGCATGATTGATGCCTTGCAAAAACCTGTTCCCAGTACTGGTTATACACCTGTTCCTTTAGCTCTCTGAACTCTCGGCTGGCTTTAAGAAATATGTTGAGGGTGTCAGCTGTTTTATGTGTTTTATACTGCTCAGCTAGGAATAGAACTCTGTCATGCAGGGGCTTAAGGCGTGAGTCAGTGAACCACCTCTGTCCCTTCCTCACTGGTTTGGGCCTTGTGGATTTTACAACATTGTCATAAAAAGCGGTTACTTCATTGACCAGGTCCTCATATAATGCGTTGACGGTAGTAAAGCAGTAAGTGTTATACCATTCGAAAATGTGGAATTTGAAGAGCATGTGTAAATTTTCAGGGATATTAATGATTTTTTTTCAAAGCTTAGGGGTTTGACATTATTGATAGTGTATGAACTGAATATGGCAAAATGATCACTAACTAATTCATGAACAATTGATCCTCCGACAGCATTATCAATGAGACCGTGACCAATGACATAATCAAGCCTGCCACCCATGAGGTGTGTGACGTTAGAGGAGTCAAAGTTGAACACGGACATGTTATTATCTCTTAAGTATTTTACAAAGACTCTGCCATTCCTGTTTGTTTTGGTGTCACCCAGGCTAGTGTGTCTAGCACTGGGTGCTAGATGGTGGAAGAGAAGCTTCCACCATTTGATCGCACCTTACATATACATTAACTAAGTTAATAAACCCGGTCGCTGTAGCAATCTGAAACTGCTGATAATAAGAGTGATGGTGACTTCATCGGACCTGGAGCCAGATTCACGAAGCAGTTACGCAAATATTTACAAACGTGTACATCTCTCCTCAATCTTTGACGGCTTGGGTTACATTTATTAAACATTTACAAGCATGAAAACTTGCCAATCAACTGTTGTTAATGTTATAAACAGCCTCCTGGTGCTTCGGCGCTCATTAACTCTTTAATAATTGTAAACAAAGCCGCCAAAGATTGAGAAAAGATGTACAGGTTCGTAAGTGCTTGCGTAACTTAATTAATTTCCCCTCCTCTGTGTTGGACAAACTTGAAGTAATACAGAACGAGGCCATGAGGATAATTCTTGGTGCCCCAAGATGCACAAGAATCATCAACATGAGGGAAGAACTGAAGTTTCCAACCATACTAGAGAGAATAATGCAAGTTAACACTACCTTCTGTCTTAAAGTCATGAGAGATCCTACATCTCCTGCATTGCTCAGAGACAAATTATTTAGTGCTGTTAACACCCTTTTGACTGGTGCTGACATACCAACTCACTCCTTTTATGATAATTGGCTGAGAAACAATGCTTACAATCTCATTAAACTTAACATTCCTTTTAAGTGCAATCTACCAGTCTCTGATATTCCTCTTTATCTGTACCCCACCATTCAAGTATCATACACACCTGTCACCAAGAAAGATAATGAGAATCTTGCTCTACTCAAAGCAGTCACTCTTGAAACAATTGCCTCCTCCATCGAGAGTCTAAGATCTCACGAGCACTGTGTCTACACCGACGGCTCAGTCCAGTCTTCTACTGGACGGACTGCAGCGGCATGTAGGTTTTATAGAAATAATATCTGCACAAAGTCTGTCAGTGTCAGGTTAAACAACTGGCTGACCTCCACACAAGCAGAACTAGCAGCATTACATTTAGCAACCAGCACATTAAAAAATATTGGAGGAGGAATAATATTCTGCGATTCAAAGTCTGCTCTTCAAGCAATCGAAAACTTCTCTTGGAAGATCGACAGCAAGAACCTAATACTCCCAATTATAAATGACCTAATTGATGCACAGAGTAAAGGGTCTCGAATCTCCTTTGTATGGATACCCTCACACATAAATATAACCCATCATAATGAGACAGACATTGCAGCCAAACTAGCGTGTAACAAGTTTGAAGTTGAATTAGATCTAGGTATCCCCATCTCTGCTGTCAAAACTGTATTGGTCCAAACATTCAGATCTGATAGGAAAGAACTTACTGACTCCCAACGACCTGAAAGTACTGGTATAAAAAGCTATGATTTGTTCAGATCTGAAACCTACATCTATGGACAGCACAAAACGTCCACTAGACTGTGCGACACAGTGGTTGCAAGGATCAGGTTGGGTTACCGTTACCTGTGGCAGGTGGCTGCAGGTGACGGGTCTCCCAATCCTGAGCACTCCAGTTGCAAACTCTGTGAGCAGGAACTACGGCATGATCTCCCGCACTACATCACTGAATGCCCAGTTATTAGACCTTTCAGACCAGTTGGCATGAGGTACCTGGAGCTTTGCAATTACTTTATTCACTCTCGTATTCTTGAAGATATCCTCACAGTATACCCAAAATTTGCCAGTGCAGGCTATTAAACACATGGCCCTGTATGACTAACCATCCTGCGAGATGGGGACTTGTATTACCACTGCTACCTTATTCAATCTTGTGTTGTTGATATCCTCAAAATGCATCCGGAGTCTGCCAGTGCAGACCGCCTATCACATGTCTCTGTATGACTAACCATCCTGTGTGATGGGGATTTTATAGCATCACCTAGTTAGCTTTTTTTTTTTTGACACACTGTACTCCACTTCATATAGTCTAGGGTAGCTGCACTAATGCAGATGTACCTCATAACTTAATAAAAAAAAAAAAAAAAAATCAGGAAAAGTACGAGGGAGGTCACGTCTCATCCAGGAGTACCTCTGGTCACTGGTAACTTGAGATGGAAAATGCCAGCCTGGCATACAGAAGAAAATGTATATATGTTGGTTAGCATTGTAAATGTGTGGCCACGTCTGTGGTAGAAAAAAAAAATTACGGGGCCCTAGGGTAGGTTGTTGGGCCCCTCCCCCATTGTGACATTGGTCGTCTTGACAGAATTGTCACTTTACGTAAGGTTTGCCGGCCTTTGTGTACAGTAAAACTACCATCCGAGGCTGCTTCATCACTTGAGCTGGTGTCCATACATGGCCATGTATACATGTCCATGTATAGCCATACATGGCCATGTATACATGTCCATGTATAGCCATACATGGCCATGTATACATGTCCATGTATAGCCATGCATGGCTATAGAGGGATGGAGTGCTTGGCCATGCTGTAAGTCATGCTGGGTGGTGGCCGAAGTGGATGCAAATGCGTCTGAAGCATTTTGGGAAGGGTCGCTCTGGGTGACCCCAGAAGGCGAGAGGAAAGCGGCCATAGTTGCCAGTCACAACATGAAGTGACAAGACACGTCAGCGTCTACCACAGAGCAGAGTCGTGTGTGTGTGTATCCCAAGTTTCCTGTGTGACCTGAGTACAGCTGTCGATCCGGTGAGTTTAATAAAAGCTTTTCCCATGTTATGTAATGTCTTATTTCCAGCGTTGTTTTACAAATAAATGTAATGCACTAATGTTGCTCTAGTAATCCAGTTCCGAAATATTGTAATGAAGAGGGTGGACTTTTGTATTTTTAAATTAATCCCTCTACCTGACACTGGCGGTGACCGACATATATGCTGACAGTGGCTGACACATATGATGACAGTGGCTGACACATATGATGACAGTGGCTGACACATATGATGACAGTGGCTGACACATATGATGACAGTGGCTGACACATCCACTGACAGTGGCTGGCACATACACTGACAGCGGCTGACACATACATGACTACATACATTGACGGTGACTGACACATACTCAGAAACACCAGGTGATGGAGTGCTTTCAAAATTTCAATTTACAATTATGTCACGTATTTTATACAATTAGAGAATAACTAAAATAATTCTAAGTCGCAATGCCGTGGTTGACGCTGGTAGCCTAACCTATACATGTGAAAAGGCGTCGGACTGCTAATTTCTTTACCTAATTGTTTCATTATATGTCTTTGGGATCAGGTCAGGTATATCAAGTGTTTTAGTGTGTACGTAATATTTGAAGAGGTCCAAAGGATTCGGAAAAGTCTGTCAATATGGGACATATACAATGTAATGTTCAAGTAAATGCATGTTTTATCTTTCACAAAGTCGACACAATTCGACACTCTGATTCTTGGGAGAGTTACTATGAATGCTTATATCTCATGGGTATTCTGGCCACATAGTATTCTAAAGTTCTACCTCAAGTTCAAGTTAAAGTATGTTTATTGAGACAAGAAAGAAATACATCCCAAAGGGACAGAGTAGCTTAGGCTATTTCTACCGTTCTAACTCTATTAATCCAAAATAAATAAAAGTCTCCTAAGGGCATTCAAATTAATTTGCAATACAAATGCCTTCAGGTCTTCATATGTTTATATCAGTCAACATTTTTCCCATGAACATTCAATAGCATTTTCTTCATCAATGAAACTTCTATGTTAATTTATAGTCCTGTACAACTACAGGCTAATTTTGCAAGCATATCCACAATATCATGCTCTGATAAGCAACACTTGATTGTTCAATAAATCCCTGAACTATATGTTTAACAGATCTCTAACCCTGTCCATGGAGGACAGAAGAAAATGTATATATGCTGGTTAGCATTGTAAATGTGTGGCCACGTCTGTGGTAGAAAATAATAATAATAATAAAAAAAGCCAACACACGGCAGTATCCAGACAAATTTAATCACAAATCTGTTGTTTAACACCAAAACTATTTATCCGGATATAAGTTGTTCTGTAAAAAAACAGCTATTACGCAATCATGTGTTCGCACTGTACGCCAAAATCATAGTGAAACCATGAAAGTGTTGATCAGTTTAAACAAACGCACCATGCGTTCAACTCCCCTATATCTGGACTCAACGGTAACCGTTAGGGAGTGCAGATTCAACTGTGAATCACGTATAATGTCATACTAATAACGGGAAACTCACGCCCACCAGCGGAAGTGTGAGGAAGGTGGCGCAGGCACCGAGTTCAGTTATGACCACCCAGGCGAAGTCTTCCCACCCTCACACCGATACGGCCGATACACAGATGCACACTCAGCCACCCAGATGATGAAAGTGCCCTAAACCTCCCCACCCACCCAGTAACCAACCCCATCTATCCAATTACCTCCACCACCCATCCACCACGAAACCAGAACCTCCACTAGTAACTACCCCACCCACCCAGAAACTAACATCTGTTGGCAATCAGAACTAGATTAGCTAAACAGATGTTATACAAATTATACCATTGTGTAGGTGGGTGGGTTGGGGTGTAAGTGGGTGGCGGTGGGTTGGGGTGTAGGTGGGTGGTGTGGGTGGCGGTGGGTGAGTGAGTGTGTAGGTAGGTGGATGGGTGAGGTATCAGTATTCACTTAGCTATGCCCGTGGGGATTTTGAGCTTCGGCTCTTTTTTACCGCTTCTCAACAGTCAATCTACTGGTGTACAGGTTCATGAGCTTGGCGAGTTGGTGGGTGGGAGAGGGTGTTAGACTAATAGTATCACCTGTTTGTATAAGTTTATGACTCCGTCTGTAATAGAAAAACAATCTCAGCGCAGATGTTCGACATCAGTTGTATATTAATTGGAATTATACCAGATGGTATACACACACCTGACGTAAGGTGTTTCTAGGGGTGATTTCCTACCTTTACTCACCAACTTGTAGGAACTGAATTTCAGCTCTTGGTCCCCCACCCTTCGACTTTTAAATGACAGTTGTAGTTGTGAGAGGCAGGTCGGTAAGGGGTGGGTGAGAGGTGGGTGAGAGGGGTGGGTGAGAGAGGTGGATGAGGGTGTAACGAAGGGAGGGGAGGCGGAGAAAATTACTACCAAACTACGTGGCACCGGCACATACATTACCCTCACAGGTGAGGGCTAACGAACTTAACGAGTTCGTTAAGTACAGGCTTCCTCCTCTCCACAATGGGAATTATAACCATCCTAGCAGCACCCCCCCATCTCTATACTTCATCTCCAACTCTTTTCTTTTCCAAGTGCTCAGATGCCTGACACTTAGCATAACAGAGTTAAAATATATAACGGTCTGTAACAGTATGTGATGCAAGATTTTTAAGATCTGGAAATATTGATTTGCAGATAAGTTTATCTGTAATATTTCAGGTAAATCAACAATAACAATGTCGAGGAAGGTACTACTGTGTATACAGATTGGTATCTTACTGCTGTTGCTCTGGTTGCTACCAGACTTACGGCTACCACCACTATTCCAATATACACCACCACATGCAACCTTCAGAAAAAGCTGCTACAGATACCACCCAAACCTCACAGCGGAAAACACGTGTTGCAAGATGACCAATTTCAGCGGTGCTCTTCACCTTCTTCACACGTGTATAACACGCGCTAACACACACCTGCTCAACGAGGCCAAGTGAGTCAGCTGCCTTTATATATGTTGTCTAATCTGGGCGATATATGACATGTAACACATGTTAGAAAAAATGTATTCAGGTGCTTCTTGTTTGTGTCTCAAGAGAGACACGTTCACACTCTTAGTCTGTAACTAGATTCACATACATAAACAATGGTTTTAATTTCTTCAGTTTCAAAAATAGTTTTTAATCTCAATGGGTTTACTAATATGTGAATTTTCTGTGAAATTATAATATGGTCACTGTATTTGAACCGTAGGCTTGTCGTGATTCAATACAATGGGTTGTGTGTTAAGCTTAAGGCCTATATTAAGCTTGATGCCTATTACCCATTACACTGAGGCTTACATCAACAAAAGTTTTTATCTGTATAATATTATGCGAATTGGGTTCTGCTCATAATTCCCTATAACTACCAATATTTAACATAACTCTGGCTATTATTTCTATTACTCGTTTCTCCATCTTCAGATGTGTGGTTTGGTCATAATATTTGGCAATTATTGATTAATAAAAAGATTATCCCTTATTATTACACACAAAAGTCATTAATCGGAAGTCTTTTGGAGGATGTGGCATCATCGCGAACAAGCATATTTATGCAAAATAATTAAACTTCAGCCCATTTTATCGTGTTTTAGTCCAATAAGAGAAAACAGGGAATTGTTTAGCAAAACGTTTGCTCCAGTGTCCAAAATATGTAAATTTTTGAATAGAATTAACATAAGGTTTTGCATACCCAAGGAAATATATTAATTTATTTTCCATATATATATATATATTATATATATATATATATATATATATATATATATATATATATATATATATATATATATATATATATATATATATATATATATATATATCTTTGTACCCTATATGTAACTTTTTTGTAACAAAGTTTAAATAAAACAAATATGTATGTATATATATACAAAAAATAGGGGGGGGGGGGTAGGAGAAGAAAATATTAAATTGTTCAGTAAGAATCCACAAGGTCTTGTCTGAATACTCTTTATTTTCTTCTCCGAGGCTATGGGTCCCTACTCTTGCACCAGAGGTGGTACTCTGTACTACTCTACTCTGGTACAATATAAATGCCACAGCGACATACGTCACTACAAAATCTAAGTAATAACAATGTCACTGAGAAATATTTTAGGAAATAAACAGCTCGATCTTGTTATACAGAGGACAGACCGGTGGCGTCGGGGAGAAAACCAATGCAAACTTAACGGAGAAACCTGGTGATGGCGCTGAAGGTAATTGGTCATCTATCAAGGGGGTACACTGGGTCCTTGTCGGCGACTCCCACGTCCGCTACATCTTGGGTGCCTTCCTCACCCGCTTCAGAAGTCCTGGACTCAAGTTCAGGAAGACCCATACTGAGGTAAGGCCCCCCCCCTCCTCCCTGCAAGACCCATACTGAGGTGAGGCCCCATACTGAGGTAAGGCCCCATACTGAGGTAAGGACCCCCCCCCCCCTCCAAGACCCATACTGAGGTAAGGCCCCATATTGAGGTAAGGCCCCATACTGAGGTAAGGACCCATACTGAGGTAAGGACCCCTCCCCCCCTGCAAGACCCATACTGAGGTAAGGACCCCCCTGTAAGACCCATACTGAGGTAAGGACCCGTATTGAGGCAAGGCCCCATACTGAGGTAAGGACCCTCCCTGCAAGACCCCATACTGAGGTAAGGACCCTCCCCCTGCAAGACCCTTACTGAGGTAAGGACCCGTACTGAGGGAATGACCCATACTGAGGTAAATATCGCATGGCTGTCATAATTAACCTTTTGAAAACTAAGCTTATTTTAAATAATCTTATATGCCAAAGCTCTCTGTAATATTTCTCAACTTTTAGGTTAGTGTTTCTGTAGCGTAGCATGTATAACCCAGTTGGTTCACAACTATTTGGCCCTTGTAGGTTGTGTGTTATACAGTAACTTGGAGTTAGACGACTGTTGTGGGTCGCATCCTAGTTAGTACATGGGCCAGTAGCTGAATTTGGATATCTCGAAAAGTCCGATATCGAGAAAACAATATATTGCTTCTTGTACTGTTTGAAACATTGTGTTTTATCATTGGAGTTGTAGTTAGTTTTTTATTAAGATTTTATGAAACTGATGGAAACCGTGAATGTCAACAATTCTGGAGAGAATATGAGTAATAAGGTCTTCCAAAAGCTTAAAAAGCAACGCCAATACAACGTCGGATTAACGCCATCAACGTTGAATTAACGTCGAATCAACGTCACTCTCCGATACTGTGCCCACTGTGTAAATGCTACGGATGTAATGTTAATATTGAAATTTCCAAGAGCAGCTCCCGAGGAGAAACCTGTCCTGAAGAACGTTTCGTATAAATAAAGCATATCCGTGGCTAGTTGATGGATAAAATTTAAAGATAACTTAACACAAAAGAAAACTCATTCAAACGCTTCCCCATAAACAGTGAATGATCGCTGGCAAGGACGGACAAATAAATTTGAAATTAAAATATATTAAGTTTTCTGCAAAATGAAACAGAGATTATTAATATACGTGAAATAGAAGACTGTGCAGTTCTATCCAGTATGAAAATGCTTCACTGCAGGTTCTCTGCACGGGGTGAAGTTGACCAACAACTTGGTCAACTACACAAGTTGACCAAGTTGTTGGTCAACCAAGTCAACTTAGTTGCAACTCCGTTGCACGTAGACGAATGTGTTACATGAATTGTTTAATTCAGATAAATCATTTTTGCTTGAAAATAAAATGAAATAAAGCATAAACTTCATGAGTCCGACCCATCTTATAAGAGTACTTGCCACGGTTCACCTTTTGAGTACTCCCGGTAATATTTGCAACCAAGTCTGAGTCTATCGAGTATAACTTAATGTTGTAGGACAAGATTATTATATTCTTGAAAGACACTGTTGGGTGTCCCTGTCACTTCATCTCACGTTGGTGGATTGTCTGCCGCGTTTTTTCTTGAACTTTCTTGAACTTGCACTGTGTATACCACCTTCGAGCGTGACAACATGTGTAATAACCTCCTCACTGGTGTCCTAAACATCTTCCCCACACTAGGTGAGAGAATGCTAGGTGGCAGCTGGGTTGGCTGCTCACATCTCGTTCCAGAAGCCAGTCTGCAGTATATTATGGATTAACTTGAGGTCTTGGGTAGTAAACTTGAGTCAATACAGGGGTGGTGGAATTTCTAAACTGCTTCCTCCATTATTCCTGAGGTCCCTCCGTGGCTGCTGATCCATTTAGCCATATGTGTGTTGCCCTCAGACACAGTCTAGCAGCCATCAGCAGCTGGTGCTCCTTGCCCTGGGATTGCTCTCAGATAATTTACATCTCAGCCATTAAAACATTTTTGAGTATGAACAAACGAGGGAATGTGGAATAATCAGGACCAATAAATTTGCAACGACATGCTTTATTTTGAAGGTGGCCCTCTAACTCAAACAAACTAGCTCGGCCAGCACGCTGGGCTTGTGATCCTGTGGTCCCAGGTTCGATCCCCGGCGCCGGCGAGAAACACTGGGGAGAGTTTCTTTCACCCTATGCCCCTGTTATCTAGCAGTAAAATAGGTACCTGGGTGTTAGTCAGCTGTCACGGTGGAGGGGTGGAGGCCTGGTCGAGGACCGGGCCGCGGGGACACTAAAGCCCCGAAATCATCTCAAGATAACCTCAAGATAGCGTTGGACCCCCCCCCCCGCTCTCGCTCCCTCACAACATAACGAATGGTAAATTTATATAAAATTAACTTATTTAAATGAGCAACATGACTGGGCTAAGGCAAACATTAAAATAATTTAAATATGAATGATCAGGTTGACATGCATCAACAGAGGTAACGTATTTTATATAAAATAAATATATTTATATATAATAATAAAGAGGAAACTCCTGCACAACTGAACAAGATCAAAATTTATAATCACGAAACTCACAGGTCCTGGACGTGTGACTTAGAGCAAGCCCGCTCCTGTATGAACTGTCTTGCCAAAGTATGACAACTTTAAAAGTAATATATATAGAGAAAGGTATACATGAAGAAAAATAAAATAATTTATACTGGGTAAATTAATGTGAGTATTCCTTGAATAGGAATACATAACAGTCCCTATGTCATGTAGGACTACCAATATGTACTAAACAGTACCAATAAGGTACTAAACAGTACATGTCACTGTTTAGTAACTGGTATAATAATTACACACAAATTCAAGATATTGTTCATGCTACTTCTGAGAATGTAAAGTGTAAAACAAGTGCATGGCAGTTTTAGGACTTCACACCAATTAAAGGCATCTCTCTCCCTCCTTACAACAGAATAGAGGCCACGCAAACCGTCCATTTGTTATTCTAAACTTTATCGTCTGGCTTTCTTCATATTAGAAATGGGAAGACACAGCAGAGATAGAGAAGATCGTTAGACGTAATGTACAACAGCGAAGAATTCACGTATTTGACCGGGACATCAACTTCCGAATGACCTTTATCTGGGATGCTCATCTGACACTGCTGCCGTTGGAGATGGCGCTCTGGGAGCGGCGACCCCAAGAAACTCCCAGCCTCCTCATCTTCGGTTAGTTTGACTTTTCTTAATAGTAAATGTACTTTAAACATAGGTGTCTTTTTTAAATGATGACTGCTATGATAGGGTTTTGGTATTGGGCTCCAGATAGGCTTGACTAGGCTGGTTTTCCTACCTCATAACAAAAGCCTAGTCTTGCCGTAACTAATACAGCCTGTTCTTGTCTATAATGTTTACCAGCGTGGGGAGAAATTAATGTAAATACGTTCAGGAACTCTGGCTGTAAGGATTTGGGATGGGACAGGGGGTGGGGATGATTTGGAATGGAGTGAATTACCCAAGATATATAAACCATTCCACGACCTCCGATGAGGGAACGTTTCCACTAAAAAAACAAAAATAAAAATCAAACTTACCGATCAAGAAAGCCGCTCAACTTCTCATGTATTGAAGGAACTCATCTGGATTATCAAAAGGCTCTTCTTCATCTCATACTGATCACTTCTATATGAGTCACTTAAGTTTCACTCTATTGCTCTCGGAGACTTAATCACATTAATTCACTATTTATTAATGTCACCACTGTTATTTAGTAACCGCTTCAATAATAATAATGAACACTGTGCCTCGTAAATCACTGTTATTCACCGCTTCAAAAACAATAATGTGTATAAACGTTGCCTCGTAAATACTTAGGTGTACTGTATTTCGATAACTGTTTCGCCATAAACCATTTAATTAACTGTACCGTATCAGTTATTTACTGTCTGGAAAACCCTTAGTTAGACTTCACTTCATAAAGCACTGTTCCTCTCTGCCTCACCATTGACTGTGAACACTGAACACCGTCACTATTGACTAAATCACCATATAAATAGATATATCTGTAATCTGTACTGTATATCATGAATCGCTGTTTTACCATCAATCTTGTGGTTCATCAATGATCACGATCCCACGTCAACCTCATTAGGTTGTTTTAGATTCAGCTGCTCAGAACAAAAAGTTCCAAGTAGCACAGGTTATGGTGAGCCCGTGAGCTCCTTAGGTCATTTCACAACGTCATATAATCTCCTAGTTACCTCTGTCTCCTCTATATGTCGACCACCAGACCAGGTTGGGCTCACAGACGCCATGTTAAACCTCAACTGCTATCAGCAACAGATCACGATCTCCTGGAAAGTTTGTTTTTCTGGATTTCCTCGTCAGTCTTGGGTGTTCCTGTCCACGGGTAGGTCTGCCCATGACGTCGGTGAACACAGTGAGGTTTCACTCACTACACTGGCAGGTGTAGCGGCTGTGTAGTGGTCGCCGACAGGTGGGTGTAAATCCAGACATCGCACCAACTGTCCTTTGACGCCGACAATTTGAGGTAAACATTGCTTCCGTGACGTCATCGCCTTGTGTCCGATGATTGGCTCACAGCTCGAAGGTCTTCGGTGATTGGTGCTGGCGTCCCTCAACCACATGTCTTATGAAGTTAATAATGTTCTGTAATGAACTTGTTTCCCATAAAGAACTCCCATAAATGATGTTATATACGGTGCTCCGAATTATTATTTGTTATTATATATTTATATATAGAAGAGTTCTTACATTCTTGTAAATCACCTAGCATGCGTAGCGTTTCGGGCAGGTACTTGTAACTTTTGGTTCCCAGTAGCTGAATCTAAAACAACAACCTTTTAACCATTCGATCTGTGTACCAGCACTTGTAACTTGTCACATCAACTCAGTAACTATTCTAAATATAAATAAGTATGTTTTCATTTCCTCAATACTTTACATTGAACATTTTGAAAAAAAAAACTATCATTGGTGTTCACAATTAGTGGCATTATAAAAAATATAAATATCTACCACGTAAAAATTCTACGTAAACCCTCTGTAATATTTTTGTAATCTGCTCATATATACATTAAATAATAAAGCTCTTATAGACATCAAATTATCTCCTATACAGGTTCTGCTTAACTAAGACGAATGTGTCTATTTCAGTCAGCGAATATATTTTGTATATAATAATATGCAAAATATATTCACTGACTGAAATAGACGCATTTGTCTTACTTAAGCAGGAATTGTACATGAGATAATTTAATGTATATGTGAGCTCTGTTGTTTAATGAATGTATGAACTCTCCAGTTTAGTGAGCTGGCAAGTAACTCAAAGTCCGTTTTACTTTAGGTTATCAGCAATCCGTGTCATATCTTTGATAAATATTAAGCGTGTTGAAAATGTATAATATTTTTTCATAGGCAACTAGAAATTAGGAATGTTGTTAAGACGGACAGACGTCGACCAGTCAGAGGGCCACTAGGCTTGAAAGCAGGGCGGACAGTTTGAATACCAGCCGCAGAGCAGGAGGACCTCTGCTAAGATAGCTCTGTGTTTCCTAGTTTAAGAAAACGTCAGTGTTCATCGTCAATTCCTTACTACAACCAAGAAGGTGTAATAAATGTTCCAAACCTCATTAAGTATGTCGTCTCTGGAAGAGACAACCAAAATTTGTCATCGAAACGCTGTGTTGCAACTTCCACCCTATTGACGTGAACCATAATAAACTTTCCTGTTGACAGCTGGAGCCTTGCACTGGATGCTGAAGACGAAGGACCTGTACTACAAGAAAGGAATGGAGGCGGCGGCAGCAAAGTACAGAGAGCATCTTAGGAGCTTAAGGCCACAACTAATGCGACTCTCTAACAGAACGACCGTTGTCTTTAAGTTGCTTGACGACCTCAAGGTAATGTTTCGTGCTGAACTTCACATGCATTTTACTATATACAACATTTTGCTGATGTGTACCAGAGCTTCAGATTCTAGACTTGAGCCTCACAGAACTGACTTGAATTACTTATACTTCAGGAGAAGTAGTGTCTTTAATATAATATTGTGAAACGCTCCATAACTCATAGCAGCAACACTGCACACCTACCGTTACCCTTCTGTGCACTTCATTCCCGGGGCTACTCCAGGATCTGCCTGTCCTGCAAGGCTAGCGCTGGTGTTGATGTGGTAGACCTACTTGAACGTAGCCGGCATGTATCGGTTGAAGTCTCTAATTGGAACTTCTGTGAAGAAGGAAACAGAGCAGGGAAGGAAAGCCAAATCAGTAAGGTTTTCTTGGTAGTCTTCACTCGGAACCAGACGGACCACAGAAAAATCACAATAGCGTGATTATGATTTGACTCGGCGAGCCAATAGCATTATTTGGCTTGGCTAGAAAATAATTTTGAGGCTATGGAGTCACTCGAACTGGCGTTCTGGTAATTCCCAGACACTTAACCGACTCGATCATTGTGGGACAATTGCGGACCAGTCCGAAACTCTACTGGGAGGTTCTGGAGGCCTTGAACTGGAGCCCAAACAGGATTTTACAGTCGGCCTGCCCACACTCTGGTCTCAAAATGATTTTCTCATTGATACATCCCGCTACTGTGATTTCTTTGTGATGTGATAATGGGGGGTAAGAGTGTGAACGCCATTACCCAAACCATAGTGGGGCGGGCTGACTTGTAAAATCCTGGTTGGCTCCAGTTTGGGGTCTCCAGAACCTCCCAGTGAATTCAGCAAAGTTTCAGATTGGTCGGCTTTTGTCTCATCATGGCCGAGTCGGTTAAGGCAGGTGTCTGGGAATCACCAGAACGCCGGTTCGATTCACTCCATAGCCTCAAAATTATTTTTTTAACCTGATGGATATTTAGCACGAAATGCCACTAGGAGCCATTGACCACGTAAACTAGTCTTGATTATGTTATGTACTAAAAACTGAGGAAACAGGAAGAGAAGAGCGAAAGACTTAAGAGAGAGAGTGACCACTAAAGGACAAACAATAATGCAAAATAGACGAGAGGTCGTTGATAGCTTCTTTATATGTGGAACATGTCAGACGTTACAGCGAGCACTTAGTAACTTGGAAGCTGGTAGAAGGGTTTATTCACACCAGTGTTACCACAAGGGCACTACATGCCACCATTAGGGCACCACAAGCCACCCCAAGGGCACTACATATTACACTAAAAAGCACCCCGCCACCCCTAGGCTACCACCTACCTCCCCAGGGACACCACCACATGTCATTCCTCGGGTACAAACGTTAACATACTTTTCCATGTGCATATCATACAAATGGGCATATATATAATTTTAAACTTGTATATAAAGCTACATCTTACACCATACACAATGAAATCACATTAACGTGATGTATCTCATTTTACACCATACTTATTAATCGTTACCCATAAGAAAGGTTAGGCGATGGATCCTCACCTTCAAATGCATATTGCAGCGAACGAACATAAGCAACTCGACAGAGCCTCTCTTGAGCTTCAGGAACTATGTCCTGTACAACAAGATCGCGGTGCAGGAGTTGTCAGGGACGGGAGTGATCATCTGGGACAGCACGAGGCCTCTCTCCACCGACTACGCCCACCACTGTATCAAGAACCCCGAAATGCAAACCCCTCCATACTTCTACTGGAAGTGTCAAGACTTAGGTCATGTTGGTTACATCCTGGTCGACCAGTATGCCGATATGATCATCAATGACTTTTGTAACAAACATCTCAATATCCCAGGAGCTTGTCTATAGCTCTTCATGAAGTAAATAATGTTATATTAAATTTTTAGGAGAGGCTATGAAGCATCAGATTAACTCATCTTCATATTTAATGCTTCTAGTTTGGTTGGGAAAGAGTACAAATATACAAAGCCTGATTGAATAAAATGATTTATTGATTGATACTGATAATAATGTGTTCAAATAGTATTCTAATATATTGGTTAAATATGTTCCTTATGTTCACATACATTTCGTGAACAAATCGTACTTCTATTTCTAGTACGAATTCCTCTATACATTTCTAGTATTTATCCATGCATTTTTGGAATACAGCTATGTAAAATCATCGTTGCAACAAATCGCTGAAACTTAATATGTTTAAAGTTACTGAAATCTTTTGCGGCATTAAATTGACACTATAAAACTAACAGTAAATCATAATGTACTTTATTGACATCGTACTTATACTGTACCGTATATATGTTCATTTAGGGAATGTGGGACCCAAGAAACTGCCCATCGCTACATGCACCATCTGCTTAGCATAATACGGAACTATCTGTGTGGTGAACATGAGTTTCATTACTACAAGACCACGATAAACAAAGTCAGGGGGTAGATCATGGGTGTAGGGGACGTTAGATAGATGTACACTATGTTTAAAATGATGTTGATGGTGACAACCAGATGAGTCCCACCAATTGTTACGAGGCAATGATTAAGACATGCTTGTAATTATGTGACAGGGTGCTGATATTGTAAATATTTTGTAAATCATGTTTTCCAGGAAAACTAGAGTTTCTTAAATTGTCCATAATGCTAATATTTTAGAGGGTACCAACCTATTAGAGACACTGTAAAATTAAGATTACAATAATTAGGATACTTTATGATTACATTTTTTTGTGTGGCTAATGCAGGAGGGTTACTCAGTAGACAAAATATTGAAGTTCTTGCGAGGCAAGATTAAGTATAACATTTAGGGTTTACGGCTCATGCTCTGTGATATGAATAATTGATTACTGAGAATTATATAAATTATATATAAATGTAGTATTTTCCCTTATCAATTGATGTAAAGATGATCTTCATATTGTATATTATTTAATCAAGAAAAACGTTTTTCTGTAGATCCATAGTAGCTCGAGTTTTAGCTGGATCATGAATTAATTATCTAGTCATGTTGTAATTATTATCTATTCAGATGATCAATTTAATATTTTCCCGTGGAGGAAATTCAACTGTGATTAGATATCGCTGAAGAGATAAAGATAGTGATACTAAAATAAGACATTATGTTTGTGCCACATATATTCCTCCACACACTTGCTTATTAAATTGTCATTGACCTGTGTGACCTCATATGTATCGTGTCACTGTGATTGATCGACTGAGGATTTATCGTTGCTCTGAAACTGGTCTCTATATTTATCATGTATTTACTGCTTGGTTGAGGGACTACCCTAGCCATGATGCCATCATTATCAGTTGTTTTTGTGCTTTGCGACACCACCACTACTATCAAGTTAGTCACCAGTCGGTATATAACATACTGTATTAATAATTAACTTTGAGGTTACCACTGAAACTGTGATTTTCAACGCGGAAGCCGTGACCTAACAATACAGTAAGCCTAATGTTCAATATAACCAATCACAGACACACTTCAGTAAGCTCTCACGGTTTTGACTTTTTTAAGTGTGTTCATTACCATTATTATTTTGTTATAATAACGTTATTTGATGTATTGTCTTGAATTGATAATATTTTATACAAAATTCTCCAGTGATTTTTCTTAACCCCTTGAGTTGACGAATTATTGATTTAAAACTATGACACCTTTTAGAAAGATACTAATGGAGTCTACAATATATATTAATTGATATTTATACATTGTAGTAAGAACAGAAACTTAATCTGTATATTATAAATCATTTATAAGAAGTTAAACGTGTCCAAATTAAACAAAATACTTGAGAAAAAATAAAAATAAGACTTAAAAATATAACAATGCCTTTATAGATAGAGATACATATTTTTATATTTGTCACAAACAGGACCTATTAGCACTAGACTTAAAACTATACTGGTACTTCACAGTATTTTGAACACTATTAACACTGGTATTTCCACGGAAGTGTGGAAATAAACATTTCATTCACCAAATTAAATAAACATTTCATTTCATTCATGCCTTCAGAAATCTGAAGGCAGTGGTGGAAGTAATGAGGAAGGTAGTGACATTCCAATGAGGGGCATGTGGAAGATATAGCAAGACTGCGTTGCTCCTGGTGGTGATGGCTACTCCACCCACAATGGCGGGCATATGATCAAGGTTTTCAAGTGGATTAGAGGCCATGATGTGCCTTTGTAACCCTTTCCACTACCGCCCACAAGATGGGCATGTGGTGCATAATAAATGAACTAATTAGTGGTATGAACAGGGGGGTGGTAAATAGTATTCTAAAACTATCAGAACAGGTGTTCGCCAAAGCAACTGTAATTTTGACATGTGATCGATAGTAATTACCATGCATTGAGTGTGCGGATAAGTGAGATCGATGAGTGTGTTTGGAGGGTAGTGATGGCAACACTTATTGATGGTTGTGATGGAGTGAGCCAGACACTTTAGGAACAGACCTGAGTGCGCCACCCAGTACAATATCTTGTGTGGTACACTCTGGAACTCTTACAGACTGTGATACACTCGCGCTCAAATACCTAATTACCTACAATAATTGCGTAGCTCTCATCCTGTAACTACACTTAGGTAATTACCTAACCCGTCCTCCTTATAGCACGTCGCATTTTGACATATACTTTACATAAGGCCAAAAACTGTTGTATTTGCAAATGATAGCGGCTCGCGAAATTGACATGATGTCCTGTTATCTGTTCATGGGTCCTCTGGTAGGTTATAAGGTTATTAGAAACGTATATATATATACCTTGCCAACCCGAGGAAGAAAGGGTGGTAGATTTCCAAATTACACTTGAGATCACGAAGATCGCGAGTTGCAGCCGATTAGCGTTTAACTTTCGAATAATGATTGGTCCAGGCAGTAGTGATGACAAAGAGAGTATTAATTACACAATTGCTGTGGGTGCAAGTTTCTGTGTTACTGCTGTTGTTTCTCCTCCTGTGGTTGTCTCCACCATCAGGCCACCTTACAGTGCACCCACCACCACCACCTGTCCCTCCACCAAGACTACCAGAAGACTTAAAACAAGGACAAAACTCACCACCACCACCACTGGTCCCTTCATCAAGACTACCAGAAGACTTACCACAAGAGCAAAACTCACCACCACCACCACATGCAGCCTACAGAAGAAGCTGCTACAAATACCACCCAAACCTCACAGCGGAAAACACGTGTTGCAAGATGACCAACTTCAGCGGTGCTCTTCACCTTCTTCACACTTGTATAACACGCGCTAACACACACCTGCTCAACGAGGCCAAGTGAGTCAGTGCTTTGACGTTTGTTTATGTGTTGCTTGTGCCTGCTTATGTGTTGCTTGTGCCTACTTATGTGTTGCTTTTTGCCTACTTATGTGTTGCTTGTGCCTACTTATGTGTTGCTTTTTGCCTACTTATGTGTTGCTTGTGCCTACTTATGTGTTGCTTGTGTCTACTTATGTGTTGCTTGTGCTAACTAATGTGTCTACTAGAAATCCTTTAATTACGGGAAATTCTTCTATCCAAATTCCAGGACTGATATGAAAATAATAATTTAATCAATATGAACTTTTGTATATCCAATACATTATATTTGAGAGATCAAAAATTATATATTTTTCGTAATTTTAATTATTCTTTGAAACATTTTTAACCCCAAAATAATTAATTTTTTAATGTGTTTTTTATTTGCGCAAATGACATATCTAATCAGAATAATTGGTCTCCTGAGTAGTTTAAATACGAATTAGGTAAACATGCCTATTAATTTGAAAATCAGGTTGAACATATCTAGAACCAGTTTCCGGGAAACATAATATACCAGAGATTGCTCGAGTATTTCTACCATCGGTTAGACAAATAATAAACATTTACAATGCTAACCAGCATATATACATTTTCTTCTGTCCTCCATGGACAGGGTTAGAGATGTGTTAAACATATAGTTCAGGGATTTATTGAACATGAAGTAGCAGCCTCACACGCGACAATAGGCTTCCTGCAGCATCGTATAATCCTATGTTCTCTTACTTTTTTTATTATTATTATTTTCTACCACAGACGTGGCCACACATTTACAATGCTAAGCAGCATATATATATTTTCTTCCTCTTATTTAACAGAGTGGGAACTGGAGGAGACGCAGTAGGTGGTGGTAACTGGTCTTCTGTCCACTGGGTACACTGGGTCCTTGTTGGTGACTCCCATATCCGCTACATCTTGGGCTCCTTCCTCACCCGCTTCAGAAGTCCTGGACTCATGTACCGTGTGAGAGATACTGATGTAAGTAAGGATTACGATATATATCTTTATAAGGTTTAAGCCCTAGGAATGTTATGAGTATTAAACCTGCAATTCACGTTGGTAACAAACCTGCAAAATCTGTGTTCCCTATTATAACATTATGCATACAAAGAGAGGGTGGCAGAAGACAGTATCCAAGTGCATACACAGGGTCAAAAAAATGGCTTCCTCAATTGTCATTTATTCTCGTCTCCGAAGCTATGGGTCCTGACATATCCAGCCAGAAATGGTACCCCATATATACAACCTGTCCTCCTACAAAGAACGTCGCTTTTCGCTCGTATGCTTTACATAAGGCCAAAAATTGTCGTACTAGAAAATGTAAGCGGCTTGTGAAAGTGACGTACTGTCCCATTTCCTGACCTTAGCATATTGTGGATACCTGGTTGATACCTGCTTGATGGGGGTTCTGGGAGTTCTTCTACTCCCCAAGCCCGGCCCGAGGCCCGACTTGACTTGGGAGAGTTTGGTCCACCAGGCTGTTGCTTGGAGCAGCCCGCAGGCCCACCACAGCCCGGTTGGTCCGGCACTCCTTGAAGGAAACAATCTAGTTTCCTCTTGAAGATGTCCACGGCTAGAGGCGAATGACTAACGTCACACAGGTGCTGTACTAATACTCATCTCTTTGCTTACCCTGTTATTCTCCCTTTGCCCCATAGGAATGGCACGGCACAGCTCTGCTAGAGAAGACAGTGCGGCTTTCCGTTATACATCGAAGAATTCAAGTGTTTAACCAGGATATCAACTTCCGGATGACCTATATCTGGGACCCTTACCTGAGAGTGCTTCCGGAGGAGATGGCGGTGTGGGAGAGGCGTCCCCGAGACACTCCTTGCCTACTCATCTTTGGTAGGTTTTGTTCTTAATATAATTATTTCTATAGACTTTGTGGAAACGAATGACTTGTCACAGTGCGGCTTGGGATGACGGTTAGTCATTTTGGTAATGTTGTTAGAGTTCATCTTGTAGCCAACCATATTTGTCTATAGCAAGTATAGTAAGAGGCAGCAGGCGTATTTCACCCTCTTTGGTGCGTATCTGGATAAATTAAAATTAATTATCAAAGAAGGCACCAAGCCGGGAAAGCTACATAGCACTGCGTATCTGGATAGATATAATTTTTTAGCAAATATTTGGTACAGTCAGTGATCTTGCCACTGTTTACAATTAGGATTAAAAATAAATTTCACGCAATCACCAGTAGATTGCTAGACTCGTAACATAAATTGGGTAGGAGGGTGATCAACCTATTAAAAGAATAATCAACGCAAATGAGGAGTCCAAATTAAAATAACCAGGTAGAAATAGTAGAAAAGAAATGGGGTTGCACTGCTTCTTTCAGGGTAAACACAGAAAACCATCAAACACAGAGGTCTGCCACACTGCTACAGCTTTGTTCCGATCGGTTTGGAGACCCTCGGTTCATAGGGAAAATGTGCATTGAAGTTCGTGGGGAAATTGGGCGACAAATCGATCAGTTACAAAATAATAAAGAGCGAAAAACTTCTTGTTCCAACGACTCAGTGTCGCAATTCATAGGCGAGGGAAGGAATTATTAGGATAAAGCGCCAAGCCATTTCGACTTACAGCACTAGGAAAGGATCAGGATAAGGATTTGGGATGGGACGGGGGAATGCCTGCTGCATCTTGGACACAAGTCGAACCTAGAAGGCGTTTGACTTGTAACAATGATCGAATCTGTGTCATTTATTAATGTATCCTTTTGATGTGTTTTTAATTTTACTTGTAATGGTCGTGTTGTGTATGTGTTAATGTCACATTTTGAAATCATATAATCATGAACAATAAAGTTTCCTATATATACTGTATATATATGTACCGAGAGACCGAGCGGTATAACATATACTCGCTGTATATACACTATACCTGGACTATTTTCAGGACTAAAGTAATAGCTGGGAAGGTAGATAAGTTGATGCTTAATGGCTGTGTTCTGTACTTTTTGTGTTGCAAATTTGGACATGTCCAGAGATGATAGTGATTGGGATTTGGGGCTGGAGTCGGGAACTGGAACCGGTTAGATTATTCAGCGCAAATTATTTTGGGGGTATGTTATAATTTGAGCTAGAGTTGCCTCCACTATTAGCGTAACCCAAGGAGCACCACAAAGAGGTATATAACAACAGGAGATGCTCCCCGATATTGATCATGACGACCTCTCTCGTTGACAGGTGGCGCCTTACACTGGATGGTGAAGACACAGAAACTCTATGCCAAGAATGGAACAGAGGCAGCGGCGGCCAGATACAGAGAGCATATCAAGAGCTTAAGACCACACCTGACACGACTCTCCAGCAGAACAACCGTCGTTTTCAAGCTGCTCGACGACCTCAAGGTAATGTTTGGTGCCAGACTTCATTCCTAATCTCTTATGACAACTTGTGGATACACTAGTCAAAGGTTCATCCTTCCAGTGCTCCTGTTCAGACTCCCAGCCGTTTTCAATCGAGCCAAGGTAGCTTGTCTCCGAAGCTTGATTTTAAATATTTAATATATATTTATTGTACACTATGTGTCACAGACATATAATAATAAACTGCAATAGTAATATATGGTTTCCAAACGTCAGGGAGCAGGAAGTCTGTTAGGCTTGCAGAGCCAACGACCGACCTTCCCTAGGATGCAATCTGCAAGTTACTAACTGTTGATAGAGCCCAAGATGGCTCTCATGTGCCACTGGTTGTATATATATATATATATATATATATATATATATATATATATATATATATATATATATATATATATATATATATATATATATATATATATATATATATATATATATATATATATATATATATATATATATATAATGAATTCGAGAGAAACCAGACATACACGCACACAAACATACAGTCACACCCCTCAAAGATGGATCATTATCTATGGTAAATATTTCAGAAAACCTATGTAATCAACTCTACGGAAGCGGTCAAAAGCATCAGGAACTATGTCCTGTACAACAAGATCGCGGTGCAGGAGTTGTCAGGGACGGGCGTGATCATCTGGGACAGCACGAGGCCTCTCTCCACCGACTACGCCCACCACTGTATCAAGAACCCCGAAATGCAAACCCCTCCATACTTCTACTGGAAGTGTCAAGACTTAGGTCATGTTGGTTACATCCTGGTCGACCAGTATGCCGATATGATCATCAATGACTTTTGTAACAAACATCTCAATATCTCTGGAGCTTGTCTATAAAAAAGATGCTTTCATGGATATACACATTCTCAAGAAATACAGTATAAGCGAAAGTTTGATTCACAAAGACGTGACTTCGACACAAACTTGGGAGAATGATGAGGTTCACTGAGCACGCCACCTGACTATTAGTATATACACATGTAAAGTTCATTCATATTCTGCCATAGATGAGAATTTCTAATTTGTATAGCCTTTTGCATATATCTAAATGACATTATTTATTTAATCTTCGAAAATTGGACTCAAATGTATTCGTATTTTATTATATACAGTAATTTAACAAATAATTAAATCATTAAGATGTTTAAATATCACATGAATTGACAATGTATATACATATACCGACAGGTAGACCTTGAATCTCGGAGTATATACATTGAGAATATATTTTAGTTTTGGACTATGGTCAGTCCTGAAGAATACTTAATATTCATTAAGTAATTGTGGTGGCTTTAATAACCTTACAGAGGTCGAGAGGCCTTAATCCCAACAACATACAACAATCATTTGAATCCTGACCATTTGAATAGGTTGTTTATAATTGTGGTTAATATATAATTACGAATAAAGTGCTGGTCATTTCTTCAACATTTGTGATTTAATTCTTTATTTATTTTAATTCAAATAATAATAATGTGCGAGAATAATTCAACCCATCATCCTGAAACTATAGTGCTTGTAGCTATTTGATCGAAAGAACCAAATTGTAGTGATGGACCACCTGTAAGCCATTGTTGTACTATTAATTTTAGAGGCTGAAAAACTAAAGCTAAAACCAAACTTAAATATTCCTAGGCCTAGTAAAGCATATATATATACTATATTAGGCCTAGGATTGCTAGGACAGCCGTATCCATAGTCAACTTTAGATAAACTACATCCCACCAAATAATACAAAAGTTAACTTTCTGGTGCTCCAAGAATTGGTACTTTTGACCAAATAGTTACCATGAGTACTTTCATTTCAGGAGGATGGGCTGGAATAATTATGCTAATTGTTTAAAAATTACAGCCTATTATCGTGAATGGTTTGACCCTTTATAAGTTACACATGAATATCGTGTCATTTTTGTAAATAATAGTAGCGTTGTAAGTTATATTTTGCCATTTTATACGGTTAATACAATTTTATACAGTCAACCACCTGTGTCTAATATTATCATATGTAAAAAGAACTACAAAATAAACATAACTAAACCGTCTAACCTAACCCGTCCTAACCTAATCTACAGTTCTAACCTAAATTAGTCTAGACGTAACAACGCACAAACCCTAATCTAACATAAAAAAATACGAACTACCAATATGTATGTTAAAAAGTGACTTAATAGTGCCTACTAAGTCATATTAAGGGGGAGGACGAAGGGGCTTGGAGAGGGTCACATGGGGGGGGGGGGGGAGGGATCACGCAGTGAAGATATATATTCAAACTCGTCTTGTATGGAGGTTTTGGGTTTTCAGATAGTTTACAACTATCAGTTGAGGAATGGGTCCCAAGAGGCCATCAGTCGGTCCAAACTGTATAAATCATTATTAATATTCACGTTATATAGCTTTGTAATTTGTATTAAAGCAAATGTCAAAAAATACTCACCAAATGTATTGGGAGAGGTATTCTTCAATAATTAATTGTAAAAGGTTGCAATACGATGATATCCACAAGAATGAATAAAGCACAGCTATGGTGTTTGTACATCGGTGTTTAATGGGAATTCGGAGGTAAATAATACAGCTGATGCCATCTATCTGCATAAAAATGCACTATCAATAGGTTAGGTTAGCAGCAGCCAATAAGGTACAGCTGATGCCATCTGTTGGCATTAAGTTACACCCTTAACAAACGGTATATAAAATACAGGTGGTGACATCTATTGGCAAAACATTGCACTATCAACAGGCGAACAGCAGCCCATAAAGGCCGAGTGTTGTGCTGAAGGAACCCTTCCCCGAGCTTGTACCTCATTGGTAGACACGCTTTGTTGACATTCCCTGACAGCCAATCACAGCAAGGGATCAGCCAAATGCACCAACCCTTAATAATTACATCTCCCATGTACAGCACACCAACCCCGCTTATGATATTTTCTTACAACTTTAATCTGCCCAAAATGTGAACTTTTCAGCCATTTAAATTTGTCAAGTTAATAATAGTTTATATTGTTGGATATAACAGTGATAAAAGAATGGCTTGGCTACTTGACTTGTGACGTCATCTGTGAGGCTAGCAGCAGCCCGTAAGATACAGCTGATGCCATCTGTTGGAATAAAATTAAACTATCAATAGGCCAACACGTAAGATACAGGTGGTGCCATCTGTTGTCAAAACATTGCACTATCAACAGGCGAACAGCAGCCCATAAAGGCCGAGTGTTGTGCTGAAGGAAGCAATTCTCGAGCTTGTATTTCATTGGTAGAAACACTTTGTTGACATTCGCCACGACAGCCAATTACAGCAAGGGATCAGCCAAATGTTCCAACACTTAATAATAACATCTACCGTTCCCACGATCGTCGTCGCCCCTAAATCAACACAACAACAACAACATCTACCGTGAACAGCACATCAACCCTGATTATGACATTCTGCTGCAACTTTATTCTATCCAAAATGTAAACTTTTTAACCATTTAAATTTGTCAATTTATGGATAATTAAATATTGTAGGATATAATAGTGATAAAAGAATGGCGTGGCTGCATGACCTGCGACGTAATCAGTGTGTGCGCGGGGCTTTGACACAACAATATCGAGTCATAGATGTTATGATGCCTGACCTCTTATAATTGTAATTAATGCTAATGTCGTACCTAGTAGCCAGAACGCACTTCTCGGCCTACTATGCAAGGCCCGATTTGCCTAATAGGCCGAGTGATTTTCTTTATTTTCAATAAATTGTTTCCAATTGGTTTATTTGTAATATTATTATTATATTATATTAAGAACATAAATTATTGACTTAGTTATGTTAGTTTAGGTTAGGTTAGGTTAGGTAGGGTTGGTTAGGTTCGGTTATATATCTACGTTAGTTTTAACTCAAATGAACTCAAACATAATGAAATGGATAGCTTTATAATTTTATAAGAAAAAAATTAGAAAAATATATGTATTCAGGAAAACTTGGCTTATTAGGCAAATCGGGCCTTGCATAGTGAAGGCTACTAGGTACAATATATATATATATATATATATGTCGTACCTAGTAGCCAGAACGCACTTCTCAGCCTAAAATGCAAGGTCCGATTTGCCTAATAAGCCAAGTTTTCCTTAATTAATATATTTTCTCTAATTTTTTTCTTATGAAATGATAAAGCTACCCATTTCATTATGTTTGAGGACAATTTTTTTTTTATTGGAGTTAAAATTAACGTAGATATATGACCGAACCTAACCAACCCTACCTAACCTAACCTAACCTATCTTTACAGGTTAGGTTAGGTTAGGTAGCCGAAAAAGTTAGGTTAGGTTAGGTTAGGTAGGTTAGGTAGTCGAAAAACAATTAATTCATGAAAACTTGGCTTATTAGGCAAATCGGGCCTTGCATAGTAGGCCGAGTACGACGTTCTGGCTACTAGGTACGACATATATATATATATATATATATATATATATATGTCGTACCTAATAGCCAGAACGCACTTCTCAGCCTACTATTCAAGGCCCGATTTGCCTAATAAGCCAAGTTTTCATGAATTAATTGTTTTTCGACTACCTAACCTACCTAACCTAACCTAACCTAGCTTTTTTGGCTACCTAACCAAACCTTACCTATAAATATAGGTTAGGTTAGGTTAGGTAGGGTTGGTTAGGTTCGGTCATATATCTACGTTAATTTTAACTCCAATAAAAAAAATTGACCTCATACATAGAGAAAAGGGTAGCTTTATCATTTCATAAGAAAAAAATTATAAAAAATATATTAATTCAGGAAAACTTGGCTTATTAGGCAAATCGGGCCTTGAATAGTAGGCCAAAAAGTGAGTTCTGGCTACTAGGTACGACATATATATATATATATATATATATATATATATATATATATATATATATATATATATATATATGTCGTACCTAGTAGCCAGAACGCACTTCTCAGCCTACTATGCAAGGCCCGATTTGCCTAATAAGCCAAGTTTTCATGAATTAATGTTTTTTCGACTACGTAACCTACCTAACCTAACCTAACCTAACTTTTTCAGCTACCTAACCTAACCTTACCTATAATAGGTTAGGTTAGGTTAGGTAGAGTTAGTTAGGTTCGGTCATATATCTACGTCAATTTTAACTCCAATAAAAAAAAAATTGACCTCATACATAGAGAAAAGGGTAGCTTTATCATTTCATAAGCAAAAAATTAGAGAAAATATATTAATTCATGAAAACTTGGCTTATTAGGCAAATCGGGCCTTGCATAGTAGGCTGAGAAGTGCGTTCTGGCTACTAGGTACGACATATATATATATATATATATATATGTCGTACCTAGTAGCCAGAACGCACTTCTCAGCCTACTATGCAAGGCCCAATTTGCCTAATAAGCCAAGTTTTCATGAAATATAACCTAACTTTTTCAGCTACCTAACCTAACCTAACCTATAAAGATAGGTTAGGTAGAGTTGGTTAGGTTCGGTCATATATCTACGTCAATTTTAACTCCAATAAAAAAAAAATTGACCTCATACATAATGAAATGGGTAGCTTTATCATTTCATAAGCAAAAAATTAGAGAAAATATATTAATTCATGAAAACTTGGCTTATTAGGCAAATCGGGCCTTGCATAGTAGGCTGAGAAGTGCGTTCTGGCTATTAGGTACGACATATATATATATATATATATATATATATATATATATATATATATATATATATATATATATATATATATATATATATATATATATATATATATAGGGAAGGAATACCACCTCTGGCTGGAAGAAGGGGGACCCTTAGCCTCGGAGGAAACCACACATAACGCATTAGAGGGAATGTTTAGGTCCCCTCCAATACAGTTTTTGTGTGCTTTTCTCCTACCACCCCATTCCTTATGATTTTTTTTTTTGCTTTATTGTATATACTTAAAGGTTACAAGATGTACATTGGTTGATGCAAAGAGTGCTCAAAGGTTGTGGATCTCTTGAAGCTCATCCGCTTCCGGACAGGAACCGAGGATGCAGCAGGCGTTTCCCCTCTGGATCGCCACACTGAGGCGCTGAAACAAAAAACTGGCAGCTCTTGGGTCTCTGGTGACGTCAATGAGCTTGGAGCCTAATTCCTTGAGAAATCCCAAGGCACTCTTGCCCCAGGGGCCATGCGTCTCAGACGCTATGGGAACAAAGGTGTATCGACCTTCCAATCGCCTGTATTTGACTGATTTTGCTATTTCCCTGTGGTTGGCCGCCCCACCTGCTTGATCAGCACCGAAGTGTACATAGGTGTCAGCCAGGGTGGATACACATGTGTAGTCCCACACCAACTGTTTGTCCCCTTTCCAGGAGTATATGGTGATGCCATCCGGGCGAAGTGCGGGGAAATCATGGTTTTAGTCCCCTAAGATGCGAGGTTCTCTCACCGCTGGGCACTGAGCTGAGGCGAGACTTCTCTTGATGATGTCATTGACCTCGTTGTGTCTTGCATGCCAGCCCTTTGTGCTTCTGCAGTGCAACCCATGCAGTCCTTATTGGTCTGCTTCCACCCTGTTGCAAATACACTTGTATTCAGTGTGAATTGGGGCACCAAGGCAGAGGGCCACTGCTACACGAAGGGATTCTGGATCTAGGCGCGTGCCCATTGCTGACATGGGTACTGCCAGGAGGAAGTCTCCTGCATGGGGGGCATGCACTGCTCTGAGGCGGGCTTTCTCCTTGTCTGATGTTGCAGCGCTGAGCATGGCATCAGCTATTTTTTTCTACTAGTGGTTGGTCCCAGCTGGACTGTTTGTGTTTTTTTATGGTTCTATGATGGGTACTGGGACTGCAAGAGCTTCCCACTGATTTGAACATTCAGTTCAGATTGCTAAGGCAATCTAAGCCTGTGGAACCATTCAATCGACCATACCCTAACATCCACTGATCTTGGAACCGTCTAGATACTCTGGTGGACCAGGAGATAGGCAGGGAGGGAGACAGAGGCACAACCTGGTACGCCTAAATGCACGACACCCTTATCAGTTCGTATCACCGAACAACTTGATTGCAGTGTGAGATTACCACCGCCCACGGGATGGGAATGGGCTCCACTACACCCAGGGAAAACATGAAGTCGAGCACCACCCACGGAATGTGTATCGGGTTCACCACCACCCACGGGATGTGTATGGGGTCAAGTACCGCCCTCGGAATAGGTATGGGTTCACCACCGCCCACGGGAGGGGAATGGGCTCCACTACACCCAGGGGAAACATGAAGTCGAGCACCACCTACGGAATGGGTATAGGGTTCACCACCACCCACGGAATAGGTATGGGGTCCACCACCGCTCACGGGATGAGTATGGGGGTCCACCACCGCCCACGGAATGAGTATGGGGTCCACCACCGCCCACGGGATGAGTATGGGGTCCACCACCGCCCACGGGATGGGTATTGGCCCCAAATGGACCAATAGGACTTCTGAAGGCCAATAGGACTCATTCATATGTTTATGATACAAAAATTATCTCGTTTCCAATACTTCTCAGAGGACTCGAGATCGAAATACATCCCAGGTCACGGACAACCATATAAACTAAGACTTGATCACCAAGATGGTCCTACAAGAGTTGTATTGGACTGTTGTGGTCGTCTGGGTCAGCACTCTGTCGCCTACTCCCGTGAGTGTACCCAGAACCCAAACAGGGAAACTCCCCAGTTCTACTACTGGAAGTGCAAAGATATCACTCATCTTGGGTTCATCCTGGTCGACCAGTTTGCAGACATGATCATCAATGATTTCTGCAACAAACACTTAGATTTTGAGGAAGGATTTTGTGTGTAGCATGTAAAGGTTCAAGGATTGGTTTAGAGCTTGGCTTGAAGCCTATCAATCTTCTATAGCCTGACTTTTTAATGTTTAAGTCTACTATTGAGGTTCAAGCTAAATGATTTACCATTATGTCAAACGTGTTTTGAGTTAATCGAAAACTCACTTTTTTACAGTCTGCTGGTATTGTTTTAAACATCATGCAACGTTCAATGGTATATTGGTTGAGTTGGTGCTATACGTTTTCTTTAAAGCGAAAGAATGAAAATGGAATATTTACACGTCAAGGTATATTTACTTTAGTCTATCATTAGAGGATCCTCCTCCACCCCCCCCCAACTAACCTGTTTCATAGACTTATACGCCGCAAAAGACTGTGTAATTTGGAAAAAATTACTACAGTGCCGTCGTGCTTGAATGAAGGTGAAGGAAATGCCCAATATATCTATAAATGTATTAAAACGCATATTTTCGGAAGTAACCTACATCCGAGTCCATGAATCTACATGAATCCTTTCTCAAAGTGCTGTATACAATGTTAATTGTGCGCATTGTATACAATACCTTGAGAAAGGATGTAGGTTACATCTGAAATTTTATTTTTGTTAATACATTTATACACATATTGGGACTTTCCTTCACCTTGACTGTTGAATGGCTACGAGCTGAAGAAAATTTTCATATATCTCAGATCTTTGCATGTAATCTTATTTTAATTGTGGCCGAAACGCTATGCGCATTAGTGGCTTTGCAAGAACGTAAGAAAACCAATGTTATGTACTCTCACAAACCCAATGTGCCTTCTTGTATGTAAAATAAATAAATAAATTTACATATAATTCAAACGTCACATTTTAAACAAAATCTGGGTTTTTGTTTGGATTTAAGTTTATAATCCATGCAACTTCTTAAAGTGTGGTTGTTGTTAGTGCAAGCACTCTATCTTTCTCGCTCTCTATCTCACTTTTTTTTGTCGCACTCTGTCACTTTCTTGCTCTGTCTTCAAGGATGGTAATTGTCTCGGACACAATTTCCAGAGTATCCCCCTGCCGTTCAATTCTCATTTTCTGTCAATCATAGATTTATTTAGTTTATATCTGCATAAAACCCTTCCAACACTGATATAATTAACAAACTTTGGTTCTTGTTAAGCTTCAGTCTTGTCATTCTTGAATTTTAGTCATTTCTTATAGTATGTTCCAGATTGGCTCCATTTTTTTGTACTTGATTTAGCGTTTTCTTTTGTATTTGTCGCCAGAATAAAGCTGATGGACTGTTATCCTTTATAAGAGGTCAATGTATTGTTCAAATGAGTTCATAGGATTCAAGTGTCATGTTCAAAACTTTTTCGGCTTTGCTTTTGGCTTTTATTTTCTTGGAATTTGAGTTATTTCTAATATTTTCTAGTTCCGTTTTCTGTTTAAAATTACTGGCAGGAAAGTCTTCCTAGTTTAATATTCCCCGGTTTTACCGATTTCTTAGGCATGAAACCATCGTCCCCTCTGTGAAATGGTTATGCAAAAAATATTCACGCCAAAATGACACCATCGGGGAAGGTTTTTCATTAGCGGTGTCGAAGTGAAAGAAACTCGAGGTGCAGTAATGGAACTCATCAGGAGAGTGACGTCAGCTGCAGAGGAACCGTGGACCAGGCAGCTGGCTGGCTGACACACTCACACACACACACACATGGTTCGCATCCCCCCAGATCAATAGTCTTGTGTACCACCCGTCTCACGGCCAACCACATTCTCTGCTCACACTTACACATACACACACACACATACACACACACATATACACTGACACACACATGACATTCCCTCACACACATACACACACACACACACACACATACACACGTGAAACCCAGTGAATGTGCGTCCGCGGTTTAGTGAAGTATACAAGTGTAGAGGCGGAGGCTGGCCAGTGACACGCCCTGTGCAGCTGCAGCGCCCATATGCGATAGGTGGGCCTATATTACAACTCTTACAGCATCACTGCCGTTACAGCATGATATATAGGCCTCCATAACTATATGTAGCCTATAGCGAGGCAGTATTGTCAGCCTGGCTTGCAGTATATAGTCCTTTTGTGAAGCGGTCTATGTATATGTATACGTACAGCCTCTTGATACGATGATGAACTTTTGCAGTGGTACATTTATGTATTAATACAGTAATGAACATGGTTATACAGTGATGCAGATGTACAGTGATAGCGATACAGGTTTGCAGTGATACGGTATGTACTCAGCCAATATTAATACATACACAGTGATGCACATACACGTACATTGTGATGTAGTTATACAGTGATACACTATATACAGTTATACACTAATACAGGGGTGCAGCTCTACACTAATACAGTGATTTCAATATATGCTGATACAGTTGTAGTATTACAGTCATACGTTAATACAACTACTTATTGACATAAATGTATGTATTAGTATATTTAGTAAATGCAGTGATGTAATTATTTACTTATTTACAGATTGTTGTGTTACAAATAAGTGATATACAGTCACATATGTAATGGCGGTGATGAAATGTGAGCCATATATATATATATAGACACATATGTTCGAATTCATGTATGAAATTATGCAACTTACTGATATACATTCAGACATACACATGTTCAGTCAGCGTAGTTATGTAATTTATTCACATAAACATACATATGTTCGAATTCATTGCTGAAATTATATAATTTACAGATATCCAAACATATGTTCGGATTAAGTGATGCAGTTACATGCAACTTACACACACATATATATATAGTCACACTAAATACATACTGACAAGCTTAATAACAGAGCAAGTCATACATTTATGTATTGACACAATGGAGGCTAGGCTACACATGTTGTTACAAGGCACCATGTATGGGCTTAAGCTGGTTACAGACAAAAAGATACAACTATACACTGTCAGATTGATAAAGATACATATAGAATTACCAAACAGCATGAATGAAAACAAAAAAAAATAATCGAAAATTAATTTAGCTCCAATACTATTTTGATAAACTATGACACCGTAACCTAAACTAGTTTAGAACTATTCTTCATAACTAAAGCATGTTGCCTTTGTAATTAGCGACAATGGCGGATCTCATCACAAAAACTTCAGAGGTAACTTTAAAGAGGCTTCAAAGATCTCGCATGCGTGCAAGATTTTTTTTCTGGGGGAGGGGTCCAATCAATACTGGGGGGGGGGGGGGCCTAGAAATATCTAGGTGGTCTATAACTTAAACTAGTTGATCTTGTCCATATGTCTATGCAAAGAAACCATTGATTAATATATACATTTTCATGAATATATTGTAAAACGAAAATACGTTTTCATTTTTTTCAGACCATCCATTATCGGCTATACAGTTAATCATGTTAAGTTTGTTAAAGTTATATATGATGCTGCTCCTAATACTGTATCTCTCCAGTTAACTCTGTGTGCGTTTGATAAATTATAACGAATAAGAAGAACTTAAGAATTAATTGCACGGTGTTAAGATGGCCACGTGGTTAAGAGACTGAAGACTCCACGACATTTTGTGCAGGGCTCTGCTGCAGCTGTCTTGGAGTACTTTTTAATTCTTTTAATATAAACAAAACCAATCTTCTATCTAAAATTCTGCAAAAATCTTAAAGGAAGCACTGAGGAGATCAGCCAGTAATACCATATGTTTATAGAGGATTCTATTATGGAGGTAATGAACGTGAGGCAGTATATTTATTTCTCCGTGGTGGGATTTTGGTATCTGGAACCAGGTACTGGAACCGGTTAGATGGCTCAGTGCCAAGTGTGTGCCAAGTATTACATGTATGGGTGTGTGTGTTACCACCATCCTTACAGTGACTCAGGGTACCCATGAGGAGGAGAGGGTAGGCCTCACCCCTCCTACCACAAGGCAGTGTTATCAATACCATTTAACAAGTGCAGGAGGAATATAATTTTTTTATATTTTAAGTAGTTTCCTTCCAGGGCAAAATGAGAGCCCTCTCAGCTCTATGTTCCAGAACATGCATCGTGGGAGGGGGAGCAGGAAATATGTAATACTTTACAGTTACCACAATTCTATCATTTGATGAATTAATGTTTATTATTGAAAAGATAATGCAGGAGGGTTGGAATTTTACAAGTAACTTTGCAATGATTTGTGACATTATTTATTTTTCATGCCTGGTAGACACTTCCAATTACAAATTATTGAGCATATGTCTGTTAGATATCAATAAAATTGCCAGACTTTGTTCAGTTGCGGTACTGAGAATGTTCATGATATTCGCCATACGATTTTACTACCGAGTATCACGAAACATATGTATCTAACAATACAAAAAAATCAGTTAACTGTCGCTTCCCAATGTCTATGGATATCCGACTTGGTGATTGTTTATGTATTAAACAACAAGTATAATTATTCTTGAGAAACAATGTAGTAACCCCTACATTTGAACCGGTGACCTAACCAGATTTCGTCCACCATTTTTGCTATACCGGTTCTCGGTTTCCCCAGTATGCCTGTGCACACACACACACACACACACACACACACACACACACACACACACACACACACACACACACACACACACACACACACACACACACACAGTAAATCTCTTTCAATAACCTACAATGTTTCATTGAAAAGTGGAGAATTACCTGACAGCTGGAAAGCCGGCAATAATTGACTTACAGATACGAAGGTGAATGAACAGAACACAATTGACTACAAGCCTGTACCGTTGACATCTGAACCCTGTCCAGTATAAATGCTACAATTTGTGTGTACTCAGAATGCATTCGGGTACCGTTAAAAGGAATTAAACTAAATTTAGCATGGTGGTAGAGGGCATCCAGAAGACCATTTTGATTTTAAACTGTGTCTCTTCAGGCCTTATAGGCTGCAAGATTTTCTAAAACCTCAGACCACTGTGAGGTGCAGGAGTATCCATGTACTCGATGGCCTCTCAAACGCAGTGGGGTACCAAATCAGGACAAACGCTCTTCCAATTGAACCATGATGAGCTAAAATATCTCACTATCTACACCTGGGTGTGGCGGGTATTTTGTACATGTTGGATTGTTGATCCAACCTTCTTATACAGTCTAAGTAAATCTAGTAGAACTTCCGGTTGAGATGCCTTTATCTCATCATGGTTGTACTGTATCACTACGTCACAAATGTAACATACACATACAGTATTTTCTATTATGCAATGGTTTAGCTATATTGATATTTTGTGTCTGTGGCTATCAGGTGTAAATATAAAATATTGTTATATTTTATATTAACAAATATATTTGTCTTCCATTTCTTAATGATTTAGTTCAATGAAATTTTTTTAATTATCATATATATATATCAGACAGCATATATAGGGCCAGAGCGTTCACCCTACAAAGTTGGGAGAGGCTAGCAGCAAACATCTGGCCTCCAACCTCATTACAGACATACAAACAGACATTCCCTTCTATCTATAAGAGGGAATGTTCGTTTTTCTGTCAGTCTAAGGTTGGAGGCCAGAAGCTTGGGGCTAGTCTCACAGAACGTTGTAGAGGGAACGGTCTAGGGAATTCTGGAGGTCGCCAGAATTCAAGAAGGAATAGCATGCCAAGGTCACATTTTGACTCCCAAGACAATTTTTTGGCACTGCCCGCCAGCTACTTCTAGCTATATAGTTTAACCAACAAATTTCATATATATATATATATATATATATATATATATATATATATATATATATATATATATATATATATATATATATATATATATATATATATATATATATATATACATATATATATATATATATATATGCATATATATATATATATATATATATATATATATATATATATATATATATATATAATATATGGGGTACGACAGGATACCCGCCAATCCTCCTGTTTTGGTGGTACTTACTGTAATGACAAGGACCATAGTACATATATATCAATGTACAACGCAATTAGAAAGTAGAAATCTGTACTATTGATTTTGGACAAATTCAGAAATACAGACATTCAATTGATACAGAAATTCAATTGATAGAAATTCAATAGATACTGTTTAGATAGTTTTTGTAAATATGTGCACCATAGTACAAACATTAACGTACTAAGCAATTAGATAGTAGAATTTCGTACTATTTACTTTATAGTCCGAAAAAATTAAGCTAAAAAACTAACTTTAATATTCCTAGGTCTAGTATAATACACATATGTACTATATTAGGCCTCAGATAACGTGTATTATGAAGGTTTTGAAGGTTTGGTTAGATTAGTTTAGGGTACCGATTTCTACTTTCTAATTGCGTTGTATGTCGGTATATGTACTATGGTCTTCATCGTTACTATAAGTACTGGCAAAACAGGAGGATGGGCTGTTTTAATTCACACAGTGTGTGTGTGTGTGAGAGAGAGGGGGGGGGGCAGTGGTCCCTCATGCATGGGAGAGCATGACACATGTTGGGTGCGGTTCCAGCATGTGTTAGGATTTAATGAAAAACTGTACCAAAGATTCACCACGAGTGTTGCCAGTTCCTTGTCCTTCGGGACACTCCAAGATTTCCTATGGCGCCTCGCTTCCTCTTGAGCGCAAACATGTTGCTTCGTCTGCCTAAGTTCCCTACACACAGTGTTCACCTCAGTCCTCAGAACACCACATAATTCCACTAAATCCCTCATAACACTTTCCATAATCATGGCTGAGAGGGCATTATACATAACGTAAGCACAAGTCGCCTCACCTTACTGTAGTAGCCTAATCTTACTGAGTCACCCACGTATAATTTCCAATTCTATCTCCGGAGTAGCCTCAACTTACTGAGTAGCCTTACCTTATTGTAGAATCGTCCTACCTTGTACAAGATAGAGAAGCAATCAGGGATAATTGGGAAGCCACTAAACTGGGTAAGGCACTTCCTTACCCATAGTCAGAGAA